CTTACACCATACACAGAATAAGCTCAAATTGGATAAAAGACAAAAATAAGTAATCCTAGAGGAAAACATAAAGGAAAGTCCTAGAGGAAAACATAGGCATGAAAATATCAGCTATCCCATGAAACGATATTTTTGCCAACATATCTCCTAAGGCAAGAGAAATAAATGAAAAAATTAAACAAATCGGACTACGTCAAACTAAAAATCTTCTGCATGGCTAAAGAAACCATTTTCAAAATGAAAAGGGACCTGACTGTATGGGAGAACATCTTTGCCAATGATACATCAAACAATGATTTGATCTCCAACGTATATAAAGACCTCATAGGACTCAACACCAGGAAAACAAACAATCCAACTAAAAAATGAGCCAAAGAGCTAAATAAGCAGTTCTCCAAAGAGGGTGTACAGAGGGCCCAGAGACATATGCAAGGGTGCTCAACATCACTAGCCATCAGAGAGATGCAAATTAAAACCACTTTGGGATATCACCTCACATCTGTCATATGGCTATCATTAATAAATCAATAAACAACAAGTGCTGGTGAGGATGAGGAGAAAAGGGAAACCCTAGTGCAGTGTTGGTATGAATGCAGACTGGTGCAGTCACTGTGGAAAACAATGTGTAATTTCCTTAAAAAACTAAACATGTTTATTATATTTTGAAGTGTTAAGAATGTTGAAAGATTTGAAATATCATGGAGACATGGATTCTCAGCGAACTGTTGCTTCTGATTTTGTGAAAGGACATTTCCCCTCTCCTCTGAGAGCCTTCACTTCACACTCCCACCCTTAACACACACACAGTTGGAATGGAGTTTTCACAAACACCAAACCAAATACTGTTTCCAGTTACAATGATACTCAGACTAAAAATCTGAAACATTAGATTTACTCAGACAGTAACCTGTTTTTTTTAAGTCATTTTCTAGTATCACATGCCCATACCCCTATCACCCCAGAATCAATGTCTGCTAGAGTCTGATAATGTGACCTTATTTTGGAATTGGGCTTTTGCAAATGTAATCAAGTTTAAAGTCATATTAGTAAAGGAAGGACCTTAATTAATACATATGATATCCTTTAAGAAGAGGGACATTTGGACACAGAGACAGTGACACATGATGAGAACAATGAGATGACAGAGGCAGAGGTTGAAGCAAGATTTCTGTAAGCCAAGGAGTGCCGAAGACTCAGGCTACACCCAAAACTAAGAGACATGCATGGTCCATAGTCTCCCTTGGATCTTCATGGTGAAGATAGCCCTGTTGACACCTTGTCTTCATAGATTAAGCTTCCAGAATGGTGACTGAATAAGTATTTTTGGTATAAGACAGAAAACATTAAAATATATGAGTACATACATGACTCATGGTCAGTGACAACAGGGTGGGGACTGACTATGTGGGGGGCTGGCAGACAACGGGGAAAATGGTGGGACAACTGTAATTAAATAAGCAAAAAATTAAAAAATGAAATAAAAATATATGATGTTTGGAGGTATAGCAATTTGAAAACATCTTGAAGAAAGTTAGAATAACTGGGAATGCCATCTGGACAGAAAATCGCAATACCATTTGGTTCCACTGAGAATATAATATTCAGATGAAGACATGAAGTTGGTGTGAAAACTAGCAATGTCGCCAAACTTGCCCCTCTCTCCACAAGATATCAGTCATTATGGTCTCAAATACATATCCCATTCCCATACCTTGTTGCTTATTCCTTATTTGGTATTTACACTGAACATCTGTGAAGAGTAGAGCCACTCAGACAAACACTTCAATCACTATGATGCTGCTTGTCATAGTCATTTTATATCAGAGAAGTAGCTGTTGAGATGAACTGGCTTTTAACCATATACACAAAAGTCACCTTTTTTGCAAGATCATCCAAAGAAGTCTGATCAGTTTTTATTTTTGTAGTATTGGTTTTGATCAATTAATTTGCTACTCAGACTTATTTTCATGATCACTTCATTTGGTGATTTCTCCTCAAAAGTTTGATTATTTCTATTTGTTTCCCTATATTGATAATTGGTACTTTAAATTTGAGAAATTATTCCTATCATCAAATTATAATTCTATTAACATGTTAAGTAATTGAGTTAAAACACAAAGAAACATATCTGGAAGTATACAAATGACGCGAGGAACAGTGTGACTCCACAATGTACATGGATATTTTGTATTTGGACTTCTGGGATTTCCCTAAACTCCTACAGGTGGTCAAAACTGCTGGTGCACAACCCTCCTGCACACGTTTCTATGGCTATTATTGTAGATTACATTATTTTTCGATGAATCTACATTTCTTTTCTCTGACCACTATGAGAAGAGTATACTTTGCAGAAAATAAGTAAGTTTGGCCATGTGACTTGTTTGGATAATATAATGTTTGTGAAAGTAACAGTTTATGAGCTCAGAGCACAGGCATTAAGAAGCACATTTCTGCTAGTCCTGCTGAGAGTGGCTAATCGCTGCTATGAGAAGGTTACATATCATGCAGCCCACTGTTCAGAGAATAAAATATATAAAAAAATATCTTAACTGAATCTGTGGTCTGAAGCTAAGCCCATATATACCCTGCCAGTCTCAAATGAAAGCCAACCAAACCACAAATGGGTAACTGAGAAAAATTGAGTAAAATAAATGCTTGTTTGCAAATGTCAATACAACTGGGTTGTTTATAACACAACTTCAGCTACTAGATACAGCTGAGCTGCAACATACATATTATATGAAGTTAATTTTGCATATGTACATATTACCTTTATATGAAAATATTAAATAAATATAGAGAATATAAAGACTATGTATTCAAGGATATGAATGTATAGGAACTATTAATTTATTTTGCAAATATTAAGCAGCCATAGGATCTCTCCCACTTGCAAGTGAATTATAGTAAAATATCTCTGAATGATTGTCAAATAATAAGTTTCATCCCACATTCTGTCAATAACTGTTTAATTCCCATGGATATATTACCCTTTTAATTTTTATATTCTCATTATTTAACACTGTATTTTTTTCTATCAAAGTAGGTTTCTAAGCATAGTAAGAACGTCAAAAGGGAAAGACAAAGAATTTAGTATCTCAAGGTACCTTCCAGAATAACTAAAATCCAGAAGAGAAAAAAAATGATATGTAATAGATATCAAAGGACACTGATTGTTACCCAATGAAACAGTAGTCTCTACCAAAAAAAATGACTACAATTGTTGATAATGATGAACCAAACAGATTCAGAAGACATTTGTGTTGGTTCCATTCTCTAAGCACGTGTGGCATAGTCACATGGCTTTTCTAGAGAAACCTTGGAGTTGTTGCATAGAAACCTCGAGTGCAAATTAAGAATTTAGTACTCTCTGCTCCAAATCTGTGTATGTTGCCCTTTCTGAGATAATCAAATCAGATCCTATACCCTTTCTCTAGACAGCTGGCTTGATACTTTGTCAGTGAAGGACACTGGACAAAAAGGGCTCCTCTTGCTGGTTTCATGCTATTTTCGCTTCTTTGGCTACAGCTGTGTGGTTGACAGGTGCATGCATGCAGGAAGTTCTTGCGGTATTCACCCTCCAGCAAGTTTTTGTAACTAGTCACAGCCATAGTTCCCTCTTCTCCAGCCTCTGCCTGCTGACATTTTGGCAGGGAGGCCTTCTGAGTTGCCAGTATATTTTGAGATCCGTCCTCACCAATATCAGCCAGGAGACTGGGAACTACTCTCTCCTAGAGCAGGCCAGTGAACATGACTGGCAGTTTTCTGTAGCGACACTGTCTGCCAAAATATCTGAAACCCATCCCTGAGGAGGTACCTCTGGATCCCATATATTCTTCCTGTTGGTACTCTTCTCTAATTGACCCTATAGAACATTGTATAATTTTCTTCTTCCCCTCTCTGCAGGCTATACCTACAAATAGTTAATAATTCCTTAAATCATCCTTGGTTTCTCTCTCCTGACGGTCTGACTTATATATCTTGCTCTCCTGATATATTCAGTCCTCATTTTCAACATTCCAGGATTGTGTAAAATCAATTATATTGAAAAGGAGTCTAAAATTATTCATGTTATTTTAGACTTAGAAGTAACAGTACTTGACATTATAATTCATAATCCTTTGGTAGAGGTTTGAATCAAATCATTAGCAAGTTCAGCAGAGGTCCCTTCTGCTTTGGTAGCAGAAGCTGCAAAATGAATTTTGCCACTACATATTTCATGCCAAGATACTGCATCAAAATCACAAAGCAGTTTTTGGAATCCCCCAAGCAGCTTCTAGTTCTCCTGCTGCCAGTCATTGGTCTTTGCTGACTGCAGTCTGTACATGCCCAACATTGTCAGATGTTCTGCTGGTTGCAGGCCTTTAAGAATGCAGATCACTTTCAACAGGCTGTCAACCACCTTTGTAGGGTTTGTGCCCCACTTTATTTGCACAGCACTTACTGCATTGTCCCTGAAAACCTTCTGAATGACGTGATTTAAACTGGTATCAATGACACAGATTTCCTCAATAAGGTCATAACTTTGAAGAGGACTGAAGTGTCAAACGTCTTATGTGCAACGTTTCCTGTATCTTGTATCTTCTTCAACAAATGTCTCTATTTTTCATAAAAAATAAAAATATTTAATATGTATTTGGATATATATTTTAAAGACTAACATAAATATAGATTTTAAAACAATCCTACAGTACCAAGGATGAAGCATCAGAAAAACTCTGGATTTTAATTGACTATGATGTGTCAATGTTGACTTATTCTCAGTAACAAATATCCCAGTCCAGTGAGTGACGCTGATAATGGGGAGGCGTTGCATTCAGGGGGACAGGGGAATATGGGACATCTCAGCACTTTCCTCTTCATTTTGTAGTGAAATAAAACTGGTCTCAAAATAATTTCTTAAAAGTCAGTTTTACAAAAGTAATTGCAGCATTCTTGCAGAAGCTGGAAATGTGTTCTTCAGAGATGGCGAGAGGAACATTATGCCAAGTGTAGGTAAGCTAATGTGCCTGGTGCTTACAAACATACGATCTGTTTTCTAAACAGGATACAAAATACACCTTCTGTGTGTCAAAATCCCCAAATGCACAATTCTCCAGCTTTGAAGTTTTTGAAGACCTGAAATACAGAGATAATAAATCATTCATCTGGTGATATATAACTTAATATTTTAATGCATAAACAATTTATTTACAGTAATATTTACATACTACGTCTGAATATTTCCTCATTTTTTCTCCAAAGATGCTTAAATAGATTCTTCATATAATTGTTGTCACATTGCTTTTAACTTCAAAGATTAATTCCTGAACTGAAAGCATGAGGGAATAAAATATATGCATTCTAAAGAAGCTTACTTTTTGAAAGATAACATTGAGCCATTTTTCCACGCCCAGGAATTATTATTTCTGTGGGAAAGTCCAATCCATGGAGACTTATTGAAAATGTTCAAAAAATTCTATGAGAAAACAAATTTTATGAGAAATTAAAGAAAAGCTGGCAGGCTACTTTGCATTTGTAAAAACAAACAAAGTGTGCCTGCAGTTAGAAGAGCGGGTGATGGCTAAATAAACTGCACAACCCACCAACATCAGATGAAGTTAGTGACCAGGCAAATCAACCAAGTCCTGCAATCCAGGAATTGTAGGGGACCCCACCCAGCTGGCCCAGCATATCCATCATCCAGAAGACAATTTTTTATGGAAATATAAAGGACTGATCAATGTGGAACACCTCAAGATTTGCCTGAATTGAGGCAACAGCTACTTGAGAAACAGCAGCATCTTAATCAACAGCAGGCCAAAGAAACAGATAAGTCCGTTAAACTGTTTGGATCTCTTCCTACTGCTCTCAGCGAACAGTATGAAAGGAAAATACAGGAGATTACTTATTTGTTGAATTCACAACATCACTGATCAACCTTCCAAAGGTCCAAAGGCCAGCTTCTGACAAAGAGAAAGAGTTTGTTGTTCGAAGGAAGCCAGCTGTAGAGTATCTGGTGGTTTTCTAGAGCAGAGTTCAAAAGAAAGGAATCTTATGTCCTCGAAACGCCAAACTCACCCTTAAGGTCAGGTGAAGCATGACGAAATTACAGAGGATGACCTCTACTTTATTCATGAGAGAGAGAATCTTCTGTTAGGCAACTTGAAGCTGATATTATGGGTATTAATGAATTTTTTAAAGATCTGGGAATGATAATTCATGAGCAAAGAGGTTTGATAGCATAGAAGCCAAAGTTGAAAATGCAAGGCTGTATGTCCAAAAAGACAACTAGCAACCATCAGGGGCAGCAGAGTATCAAAAAAAGAATCTTGCATGTTGTTGTGAGATGTACAAGCCATCAAAGAAAAATAGAAATCTACAACTGGGTCAGCATGGGAGAATAAAACAAAAACCTTAATCTTTGTATTTTATTGTATTATGTTTATTATTTTAAAGATTCTTTCTATTTGTTTTTAGAGAGAAAGGAAAGGAGGGAGAAAGAAAGAAACATCGATTGGTTGCTTCTTCTACACTCAACTGGGGACTAATCCTACAACAATACAGGCGTGTGCCCTGGCTAGGAACTGAACCAGTGACATTCCCCTTTGCGGAAGATGCCCACCCAACTGAGCCATATTGGTAAAGGCAATCTTTATATTTTAAGTGACTATATTATTATTCTTTTGCCTCTGGTATTTATTTGTGCATTGTTAAATGCAGGTTTTGTTAATATTAAACAATGAGGATGATTTTCAACACTAAATTATTTTTGAAAAAATATGACATTGATATTCTCAGCAAACTCATTTTGAAGCACAACTTTTTAAAACATCAATAGAGGACTTAAGGGCATGGACAATGGGTGGAGATTGACTGTGGGAGCGGGGCTGATGGGATAGGGGTGAGCAATGGGGAAAAAGGTGGGACAACTGTAACTGAACAATAAATTTAAAAAAATAAAAAATAAAAGATAGTTTTTGGATAATGCTGACATTCAATATTGTTTTGGAAGTGTGTATTCCTGGTGTATGCACATATCCCCAATGAGTCTGGGTCCCATCTGGCACCATGCATGGATATTGGAAAGTTGTGGACTATATTCTGCATCTTGCACTTTGCATTGGTTTGACTGTTTTTTTATTTGTTCTGTTTTTTTTTATTTTTACTCTTCTTCATTTAAAAAAGAATTAGCTTTTTGCCAATTAACTCACTTGTCTTTTTATATCAATGTTGTTGTTTTGGTTTGGTTTTTACTTTATTTTTATTTTTTAAAGATTTGTATTTTTTTCTTTTTAGAGAGAAGGGAAGGGAAAGAGAGAGAGGGGGAGAGAAACATCGACGTGCCATTGGTTGCCTTGAACATCTGGGGACCTGACCTGCAACCCAGCCATGTACTCTGACCATTTACTTTGTTTTTATTGATCTGAGAGAGAGAGACAGAAAGAGAAAGAGAGAGCAATCAATTTGTTGTTCCACTTATTTGTGCATTCCTTGGTTGCTTCTTGTTTGTGCCCTGATGGAAAATCTAACCAACAACCTTAGAGTATTTGGACAATGCTCTAACCAGCTGACCTACCTGACCAGGGCCTATACCAATGTTTCTTTGCTTCTACCACATAGCATTACAAACACAGCATCCTAAAAATGTAAATTCTCAAAGTACTATGAACCTAAATGTAAAAATCAATCAGTGAAGAAAAAAGATGAGCCATAAGGAATAATGCAGTAGATGATCTGCATGAGCTTTGACTAACTTCTGAAATATGTCCAAAATAATCACAAACATCCAAAATAAGATATTGGGCTATGGTAATATTAATAAATTCTGATCATTAAAAGATTACAATATGAGATGAAAAATATAACTGATAGTGAAAAAAGTCATTTGCATCTTTCAAATTCAAAAAAGAATCATATCCAAAATTAACAACTTCTAAGGAGGAAAAGAGCAGGAGAAATGGTCAAGAGACATGAACAGGCACTTCTCATTCCCACAATGGAGAATTTCATAATGATTAGTGCTCTGAGGGGTGTTCAGTCTATTTGATCAGGAAAATGCCTATTAATGTCTTAATGACACTTTTATATCATGATCAAAACTGATGGCATTAAAATTCCTGGCAGTACTGTTTTGGATCATGGAGTTATTGAATACAATGTGTATTTATACACTGAACTAGAATATGCTGGGATACTTTTTAAAATTTACCATCTATCTATCTATCTATCTATCTATCTATCTATCTCCAACCCTGTGATATCAATCTGATGGAAAAAAGACAAATTAAATTATACACATTACAATTATAATAATGTAACTATATTTATAAATTATATTATTATAAATATAACTTTAACATATAAATTATATATGTTATAAATTATAATTTAATTATATATAATTTTTATGTTAAACATATAAGTATGTTTATATGTTTAAATATAATATAAATATAAAACATTATATTTTATATTAATATAAAATATATTTATATTTATTATAAATAATTTTAATTTTATAATAATATATTTAATATATATTATATATTTATTAATAATATATTATAAATATATAATATATAAAAATATAATATTTTAATGTATAAATACATTATATATTTATATGTAATATAAATATAAAATATTATGTATTATTTATACATGATATGAATTATTTAAAAACAATATAATGCTTTGGAAGAAAGACATAACAAAGATTTTTATTATATAATTGTTCATTATACCCACATATTAAAAAAAAACTATATTCCTATATTCTGAGTAGAATGGTGAAAAATGCCATGTATATACCATACAGCTATGAAAATTAACAAACTACAAGTAAATGCAATAATATAGGAAATTGACCACCAACATACACCATACACCAAAGTCTACTCAAGATGGTTACAAAACTTAAATATACGTCACAGCACCATGAAAGTCCTAGAGGAGAACATAGGCAGGAAAATTTCAGATATTCCACATGGCAATATTTTCACCAATATGTCCCCTAGAGCAACTGACATAAAGGAAAAAATAAACAAATGGGACTTCATCAAATTAAAAAGCTTCTGTGCTGATAAAGGAAATATCAGCAAAATGAAGAGAACCAACCATATGGGAAAATATTTTTTCCAATGATACCTCGGAAAAGGATCTAATCTCCAAAATATACGACTGGAGTCCAGGAAGACAAAAAAAAAACAATTAAAAAATGGACAAAGGACCTGAACAGGCACTTCTCCAAGGAGGACACACAGAGGGTCCAGACACATATGAAAGGATGCTCAGCTTCACTAGCCATCAGACAAATGCAGATTAAATCCACAATGAGATACCACTTCACACCAGTCAGAATGGCCATCGTTAATAAATCAACAACCTGCTGGCCTGTTGTGGGGAAAAGGGAGCCCTAGTTTGCTGTTGGTAAGAATACGGACTGGTGCAGTCACTGTGGAAAACTCTATGGATTTTCCTCAACAAACTATAAATCGATCTGCCTTTGGACCTGGCAATTCCTTTGCTGGGATTATACCATAAGAATCATGAAACACCAATTTAAAAGAACCATCAAAGTCCTCGAGGAGAACATTGGCAGGAAACTCTCAGATATCCCACGCAGCAATTTTTTCACTGATATGTCTCCTCAAGCAAGGGACATAAAGGAAAGAATAAACAAGTGGGACCTCATCAAAATAAGAAGCTTCTGCACGGCTAAAGAAAACATCAGCAAAATGAAAAGGGAGCCAACCATTTGGGAAAATATATTTGCTAATGATACATCAGATAGAGGTTTGATCACCAAGATATACAAAGAACTCACTCGACTTTACTCCAAGAAGACAAACGAGCCAATCAAAAAATGGGCAAAGGACCTGGGCAGATGCTTTTCTAAGGAGGAGATACAGAGGGCCCAGAGGCATTTGAAAGGATGCTCAGCATCACTAGCCATCAGAGAAATGCAGATCAAAACCACCATGAGGTACCACCTCACACCGGTCAGAATGGCCATCATAAACAGATCCACAAACAACAGGTGCTGGCGAGGCTGTGGAGAAAAGGGAACTCTAGTCCACTGTTGGTGGGAATGCAGACTGGTGCAGCCACTATGGAAAGCAGTGTGGAATTTCCTCAGAAAGCTGAAAATGGAACTGCCTTTTGATCCAGCGATTCCCCTGCTGGGACTATACCCTGAGAACACCAAAACGCCAATACAAAAGAACCTATGCACCCCAATGTTCATAGCAGCACAATTTACAATAGCCAAGTGTTGGAAGCAACCTAAATGCCCATCAGTAGATGACTGGATCAAAAAGTTATGGTACATATACACAATGGAATACTACGCAGCAGAAAGAAAAAAGAAGTACTAAACTTTGCGACAGCATGGATGGAACTGGAGAGCATCATGCTAAGCGAAATAAGCCAGGGGGCGAAAGACAAATACCATATGATCTCCCCTATAAGCGGAACCTAACACAATGCAAAGAAGCAAGGAAAATATGACCAGCAACACTGAAAGGAAAAGAAATCAACAGAGACAAGAGGGAAGGGGGAGGCAGGGAAAGGGAAGGGAAGGGGAAAGTCAAGGAACATATAGCAAGGACTCATGGACAAAACCAAAGGGGAAGAGCTGAGGGAGGGAAGGTGGGATGGGGCAAGGGAAAGAGGTGGGGGGAAGGCAGAGACAAATGTATTTAAAAAGTAAATAAATTAATTTAAAAAAATAAAAAATAAATAAAAGAACCTACGCACCCCAATGTCCATAGCAGTGCAATTTACAACAGCCAAGTGCTGGAAGCTGCCTAAGTGTCCATCAGTAAATGTGTGGATCAAAAACCTGTGCTACGTTTACACAGTGGAATACTATGCAGCAGAAAGAAAGAAGAAACGCCTACCTGTCCGAACAGCATGGATGGAACTGGAGAGCATTATGCTACTGAAATAAGCCAGGGACAGTGAAAGACACATTCCATATGATCTCACCTATAAGTGGACCCTAGTCAACGAAAGAAACAAGCAAGCGAAATATAACCAGAGACATTGAAATAAAGAACAAACTGACAGTAACCAGGGGGACAAGGGGGGGCAGGGTCAAGTCCAGGAACATGTATAAAGGACCCATGGACAAAGAAAGTGAGTGTAGGAGGTGGGCTGTGTGTGGTCAGGCAGGGTGGAGGAGGGAAAAAGGGGACGACAGCAGTTGAGCAACAATGAAACAAATAAAAAGCAACTTTAGATCAAAAAAACTTGATCTAAAGTTACTTTCCAAAACTGAATTGGAAAAATATCATATGGGAGTTAATGAAGAGACATAAAATGCGTAATGAATGATTCTCAGTATATGAAGTTCAACATCAAGCAAAGATAATTTGTAATATAAAGTATCAGAATGGTGGTTAATTGTGGAAAGAAGAGGAGTTATGCGAGAGTGCACAGGAGTGGATTGGCAAATTCTGTTTTATCATCTCCTTTGTATTACCTGGGTCTTTTCATTGTAATATGCCCAAACAGGTATCTTTAGTTTCCGTGATGCATGGTGAAACTAAGTAGCAGTTACTTTAGGGAAAAAAATCATTTATTGAAGCGCGGATGTCTATGCAAATCAAGACCTAGATATTATCAAATGAGCATTCATGGTATAAATATAAATAAAATATTATTGAGTCAAACAATAAAATATTAACAATTTATAAAATAAAAGACAGGTATATACAGAAATATGAATGAATTCTATAAAAATGTAAAATAAAATACTCTTTAAATTTTAAATGAAATGTTTGAAACATTGAGAATCTTACCATTTCCTCTTCATTATCTACATAGAGCAGGTTAGAGTTCTTAGCAGCACAGGCCATCCAACTCTCAGTCCATGTCTTTTGTTCAGTACTGATGTAGTAGCAATTGTTGGAATACCTTATCCACTCCGGCGGACAATGACCACAAGGATATGCTGGAGAAAGATTATGCACTGTTATCCAAGAACAATACACATTTAAAAATGAAAATTCATTTTGACATTTGCGTAAGTGTAGACACATTTGTGCATAGCATATGTATATACCCTCACAGACTGGTGTATATAAAGCAAAAGGCACTCATATATATACACCCACATGCACTCAAAGAGAAGGGTCAGCTTCTCATTCCCCCATTGATGTGCCTACATTAATCAAACACAGAAACAAAAATATCCACTTTCTATATGTCCTGAATGTTAATGAATGAAATTACATTTTTAGAATACCAAAATTATCTTTGAGCTAATTGGCAACAATGGGTATGATGATTTTAAATGACTATTTATTCATATTTTTGTATAAGAAACACTATTTTATATTCATTATTTATGTATATGTATTGTTCATTATTATACTTTATATTCTGCCACCAATAAAGCTACAAATTTTGACTATATTAGAGACAAAGTATGAACTGTACTAATATCTGAACATAGAAAATAATAATGTACCTTTTTGGATCCCTGTTATTGAAGAAGATTCATTCTGCACCAGTGTTACATTGGCTAGAAAAACAAATTCTTTAATTTTATTAAAGAATTAGGGATCTAAATAAATCCTCATACCTTTGGTTCTTACTTTGAAATGTGGTATATTGTCTAGGGTTAAAATAATATGGACTAAAATTACTTTACTAAGAAAAATTAATGAAGCAATGATAATTCAGGGAAAATATTTCAAAAGTCTTGAGAACCAAACTTCACCAACTCTTAACACTCTTCTGATTAATCAATATGAAGAATTTAGTTTTGTATTTCTCAATAGAGTGTCCTAAAGAATGCCTTGAATTATAATACAGATATATATATGGATATATGAATGTATATTTGTAAATTGCTTTCTAAAATTGCTCTGATACTTAAACCTTAAATGGACAAATTCAGAATAACATTTTGCAAAGGCATACTTTAAAATGAGAGTTTATTCTATAATATTATGAAGTGTTTAGAGGCACTAATGAACAAAAAAATTATGAATTTTAACTGAACACAATTTGAATTAAAAATATTAAGCTACATATACATAATACATATATCAACATAATACCTATGGACACTTACAGGCTGACACATATAAAACAAAATGCACTCATATACAAATCAGGGAGAAAGGTCATCTCACATCCTCTCATGTTTGAATCCATATTAAAAAAATCACACAGATATATCCATTCTCTAATGCCTAGGATGTCAATGAATACAACTATTTTTTTTAGAATAACAACGTTATTTGTTCATCTTTTAGAGCGGCAGGATATTTAAGCCCATTGGTCACAATGAATGTGTAAAATTCATTGATAAAATGATAAAATCACAATGAAGTGATTTTATTTTATTCATTTTTTTTTATAACTCACAAGGATCGGCTTATTGATTTTAAAGAGAGAGGAAGGGAGTGAAAAAGAGAGAAAAGCAATGATTTGAGAGAGAAATACTGATGACTTGCCTTCCATATGCGCTCCGAACAAGGATCGAACATACAACCTAGGTGTGAGCTTTGACGAGGAATCCAACCTGCAATATTTTGGTGTACAGGAGTACCTTCTAGTTAGCTGAGCTACCTACATACCGAGTTAGGGATGGACTTGGTAATTTTAAATATATACTTCTTAATATAAGAATAAACTCTCCAATAATTGCTATTCATGAACATTTATTGCCATATTTTATAATGTATATCCTCTTTGAAATACATTTTTGTTTTCTCCAAAACAGAGAAGACTATGAACTATATTAGAAACAGAACTTTGGAAATCACAGTTATATTTTTCCATCCTTGCTCCTGTGGACAATTGCCCCTCTCCAGTTTTACAATGCCTAGGAAAAGTTACAGTGATTCTCATAATAAAAATTAATACTGCTTAAATGAAAACATCATAATTTAAATTCTTTAGTTTGAAATTTGGTGTACTATTTAGGAGAAGAAAAATCTGAAACAAAGTTGATTTCACAAAGAAAAACTAATACAATAATAAAGATTTAGTAGAAGAATATTTCAAAAGACTGTGTAGGATCATACTTCACCGTTTCTTACAATATTGGTTTAACCAACCTCAATGATTCATTTGTATTTCTCAATAAGATTTTTTAGATTTCCAAAGCATATATTTGAGTAATGAAATCAGAATAAATAAATATAAGTAAAAAGCTCTCTACAATTATCCTCTTATTTACACATTTGACAAATTCAGAATAACATTCCACAATTATCTAAACGCTTCCTTTAAAATGAAGCCTCTATTTCATAATGCCATAAAATGTTTAGAAGCACTGAGATTCATTTAAGTGAGAAGTTCTCTCAAAATATTTCAAAAACTTACTTACAGAGAATCGTTCTTACTAAAATGTATAAGATAAGGCAGGTGACTCCCAGGATCCCAGCAATGAGCTTCTCTGGAGGAGATGGGGAATCTGCAGTGAGAGGAGCCAGAAACAGAAATATCATTTAAACAGTTTTCATGCATGAAAGCCCACACACACAGGGAATCATATAAATAATCTTGAACGTCCAAAACCAACTCCATCTCTGTAAACATCCTTTCAGAATATGCCATTGCATCATCAGGAAATATGCTCCGTGAGCTGTTGGTCAAATCCTACAACTGACACAATGCCTGAATATAATTAGCCCTCAGAATTCATATGAGAATATGGTATTGCAGCTTGAAGCTCTGATCCTCACAAATGAAAAAAAATAATGTGAGCTAAATCACTCTTCTTTCCACCACAATTCTTCACACCAACTGTACCTGCTAGAGCAGTCACACTGTGTGTCTATTAAATACGTCACCTTTGCAGTGGTCATCCCTGTTGTTCCATTGAAGATCTTGACAAGCATTTTCAATCTTTATTCCCACAGAGGATATTTGCTGTTCAGTTTGTAAAATGGAGCTTTTCATGCCCTTGCCTTTCCTTTGCTGTCTCCTGGAGTCCTTTGCCAGATTCTGTTCTGAGTCGTTTTCTTGTTGGAGATCCATCTCTGCAGCTGAGTAATGTCAGCGATGGTGCCTATGGTATCAGTGCTTCAGTGTTAACACTTGATGTGCATAACGATAAGATCCCTCGGAGGGTCAAAGTGGTGGAGTGTGAGATAAGAAACAGCGCTCACTTTGCACTTGACCAATGTGAAGTCTTGTTCTAATTTAAGTAGAGACTCAAATAGAGGTTTCTGGGAGAACAATGGTTTTTAAAATGATATTCTATGTTTAACATGATATTATTAGTTGAAGCAATAAAAAACAGTAAGTTAGCAAAAAATAAAGTAGTCCAGAATAATATCTTTATAAAGTCAGATTCCACTGAAACATTTTAACAATTAGAATAACTGTGAATATTAAAATGCTATATGGAAAAAACAGTGCACCAATTTTAATAGCAAATTTTAAATCCACTAATGTTTAAAGATTGAGTGTGCTCAAATTGGGGGGATAGTAGTGTTAGCATGTACAGTAATGAACTGCAATAAATTAATTTAATTTAGTCACTTACAATTATCAGGTAATAGGACAGAAGAGGTGCTATCAAATATTTTATTTTGAATAATTGTAGAGTTCTGAGAGGTCATTTACATTTTAATGAAATATTTTACATTAAAAAGTATTACATGACACAGTAAAGTTTTCCAAAGCTTAATTAATATAAAAACAATAGAACATTAAAGGATTTTTAAATATATTTTACACACATACCCTGCAACTTATTTAATGGTTAAGATATGAAACCACAAAATGATACATAAATGTGTTGGAGATCATTTATGAAGGAACATTTATGGTTGGTGCAAATATCCAGAAAAACCCTTTTGCTGTCAAATTCTGTGAAGGTAGCTTTAGTACAGAGTGAAATGGAATAAATCAGTAAATGTAATTGAATAATTCAGTCATTAGGCACTGCGGTCAGTGAGATTTGGAATACATCGTAGCTTTGAAATTTGCAATGTACGACCTTTAAAAATATTTAGTGTCTAGTAACCTGGAGTGCTAATGAAAGTGGGAATAAAAATATGTGAAATACAATGCATGTAAAACACTAATACTCAATCTGACATTTACAAGTTTTCCAAATTACTTGATTTAAGTATTGTAACACAGTTGCCATGTACCAATTTTTACTTATATCAGACAGTGTAACAATTCCTGCCACTGGAGTACCTTATCAGTGTGGCATCTCTTGTTCATTTTCTAAAAAATCTTTTGATTGTTTATAATTAAGTTTAAATAACCATTTTACAGAGACTACTAAATCTTGATTTTTCTGCAAACAGCTTTTATTTAATTCAAATGCATCATTGAGCAATTATGTTTGACCTTCATGATTCTATGAATTCATTTGAAAAATCTATTTTACCACCTGGATTAAATATGAAGTAATATACATATAATTATATATATTAATTACAAAATCCAAAAATAACTGTTCCTTGTCATGATGTTTATGGTTTTTTCATTTAAGTCATACTGATTTCCAAACTAAAATATGCATCTGTGTATTCTTGTTAGTAATTTTGCATGGGCAAATATTTGAAATTTTTTCATATTTTACTCTTTACTGTAGAATGTACAAAAAAAGAATACCAGTGTTTTCTTTTATTTGATTGGATATTAATTGTACTTCATTAGTATCACATCAGCATTTGTAATTTGCCATTAAATGAGCCAGGTCAGTAGAGAGACAGGAGAGGAGAAACACCTACCTCTGGAAGTTAGAGAGTCATGCATCCTCTATAGGAGACCTGGTTGCTCCTGTCAACAACTAACATCTGTGGTTCTCACAGGCTGCCCCTTGAAGACAGAGAGTGAATAGAAATTAGAAAAAAGTAGATTTCTCATGATAGTGTCACTTAAAGTTTGAACAGGAAATGCTTACACTTGGGCAGTTTTGAAGATGGATTATCTCATCACACACCACCAGAATATAGGAGACTTTGAACTTGTAGAGCATCATTTAGTTTATCCAGTGATAAGTGCCTCTGAGAAATTTGAGAAAATATTTTCATATTCTCAAAGATTTCTAGGACAAAAAACTTGGCCACCCATGCTGTTAACTTCCCTCCATCTTAAAAATTACAAACACTGAAAACTTAGGCCTTGTTAAGAGTATCCTAGATGTGTAAGTCCTACTAATAGACGAGGCAGCTAAATACTGGCATTATCTAAATTTACTTATACTCTCATTGTCTTTCAATTAAACAGAAAAAACTAAAATTATAATCTCGTTAACAACAGGTACTCAATGACATTTGTCACCAATATTCTGAAGAATGACTACATTTTCAACTTAGGATAGCTCTCACAAATATAGAACGGAAGAATTTAATTTGCAGAAAGAATAACATACACAATGTTGATATAATTAATTATTTAGGTTTCATGCAAAATGTGATATATGTGCATCTGTGTATTAGGTTATTATACCAAAATAATTATCATTACCCTCTAATAAAACCACTTCATGTGAGATTTCAATGTTATATTAATTAAATAACTTGCCATTTGTTATTGTTATTCTATTACAGTTGTCTCCGTTTTACCCTTTTCGCCCTCCTCCACCCATCCCCACCTACACTCCCACAGTCAACTCTCACCCTTTATCCATGTCTGTGGGTCATTCACACATGCTTTTTGCTTAGTCCCCTCCCATTTTTTCCATGATTCTCCCCCTCTTCTATCCAGCTCCATGTTTCCATGCCTGTGGTTCATTTTTGTTTCTTAGTTTATTTTGCTCATTAGGTTCCCCTTAGAGTTGAGATCATAGGTTTTTGTCTTTCACAGGCTGGCTTATTTCACTTAGCATAATGTTCTCCAGTTCCGTCCATATTGTTGAGAAAGCGTAGGAGTTATTTTTTCTGCTGCATAGTATGTCACTGTGTAAATGTACCATAGTTTGTTGATCCACTTTACTTATGGGCACTTAGGCTGTTTCCAGCACTTGCTATTGTAAATAATGCGGCTATGAACATAGGGGTGCATAAGTTGTTCTGAATTAGCAACTTGAGATTCTTAATATAATCCTAGCAGGTGAATTGCTGGCTCAAAAGGCAGATCCATGTTTAGTTTGTTAATATCAATTAATATTTGACAAAGGAAACAAGAGCATACAGTGGAGAAGCCTCTATTGAATAGCATCTTCAATAAATTGTGTTGGGAGAACAGGACTGGTACATGTAAGAAAATGAAGCTAGACCACCAACTTACATCACACACCAGAATAAACTCAAAATGGATAAAAGACAAATATAAGCCCATATGTCTCCAAGAGCAAGAGAAATAAATGAAAAAATAAACAAATGACTACAACAAACTAAAAAGCTTCTGCATGGCTCAAGACACCATCATCAAAATGAAAAGGAAACTGACGGTATGGGAGGACTTATTTGTCAATGATATATCAGACAAGAGTTTGATCTCCAAAATGTATGAAGAACGCATAGGACTCAGCATCAGGAAGGCTAATACTCCAATTAAAAATGGGTCAAAGACCTGAATAGCCACTTCTCTGAGGAGGACACACAGAGGGCCCATTGACCTATGAAAAGATGCTCAGCATTACTAAGCATCAGAAAGCTGCAAATTAAAACCACTTTGGAATATGACCTCACTCCTGTCATATGGCCACTATTAAAAATCAACAAACAAATGCTGGTGTGGATGCAGGGAAAAGGGAAACCTAGTGAACTGTTGGTGTGAATGCAGACAGGTGTAGCCACTGTGAAAACCAGTGTGACATTTCTTTAAAAAAACTAGACACATTTTTTATATTTTGAAGTGTTAAGAATGTTGAAAGATTTGAAATATCATGGAAACATGGATTCTGAGTCAACTGTTGTTTCTGATTTTATGACAGGACATTTCCCCCTCTCCTCTGAGAGCCTTCACTTCACACTCCCGCCTTTAACACACACACGGTTGGAATGGACTTTTCACAAACACTAAACCAAATGCTGTTTCCAGTTATAATGACAGTCAGACAAAAAAATTGGACATTAACATGTTTTTTTAAAGCCATTTTCTAGTATCAAATGTCCACACCCTTCCAAACTGAGAATTGATATCTACTAGAGTGTGAGAATGTGCCCATATCTGGAAACTGGGCCTTTGCAAATGTAATCAAGTAAAGATCAGTTTATACTGCTATAGGAAGGGCCTAATTAATACATATGTTATCCTATAAGAAGAGGGACATTTGGACACAGAGACAGAGACACATGATGAGAACAATGAGCTGACAGAGGCAGAGACTGGAGCAGGATGTCTGTAAGCCAAGGAGTGCCGAGGCCTGAGGGCTACACAAAAAACTAAGAGAAATACAAGGCCCAGAGTCTCCCCTGGATCGTCACAGTGAAGATAGCTCTATTGACACCTTCATTTCAGAGTCTAAGCTTCAAAAACTCTGAAAGAATAACTGCTTTTGGTGTAAGCCAGAAAACATTAAAATATACAGTCTAGCACAAGTAAAGCCATTGATGGTGGATGGTGGGGGACATTAATGTCTTGTACAAGAAGGACATCAATTTGAGTATTTCACCTAAAATATCATATGATGTGTTTGAGTATGATATTATGTTACAGAATTAGATACTTCTGATTTTGTAATAAAAGATTTGGTATCGATTACCAGTGCATAAAGAGGCATTATGTGTGCCAGACTCTGTATGTGATGTTAGGAGGTATAAATGTTGCATGGAAACATTTTGAACAGAGTTAGAATACCCATGAGTGCCATCTGAGAGGAAACTGCAATTCTGTTGGAATCCCTGGAAATATAATATTTGCACAGAGACATAAATTGGTGTGAAAACTAGCCATGTCAATAATTTGCCTCAGTCATCACAAGGTATCAGTCATTATTGTCTCAAAGACATTTTCCATTCCCAGAGCTTGTTGCTTATTTCTTCTTTTTTGTTATTTATGCTGAACATCTGTGAAGGGTAGAGAAATTCAGACAAACTCTTCAATCATTATGATGCTGCTTGTCATAGTCATTTCATATGAGAGCAATAGCTGTTGGGATGAATAGGGTGTTAACTATACACACAAAAGTTACTATTTTCCTGAGATCATCCAAAGAAGTCTGACTACTTTTTTGGGGAACATGTGCTTTGATCAGTTAATTTCCTATTCAAACTTACACTCCTGATCATTTTATTTGAGATTTCCCCTCAAAAGTTTCATGATTTCTCTGTTTGTTTCTCTATATTGATAATTGGTTATTTAACTGAGAAATTATTTTGATCACAAAATGATCTCTCTATTAATTTGTTAATAAATTTAGTTAAAATACAAAGAAGCATCTCAGGCAATACTGAAATGATGTCAGGAACAATGTGGCTCCACAATGTATGTGGATAATTTATATTCTGACTTCTGACATTTCCATAACTTTTCCATGTGGTCATAACTGCTAGTGCACTGCTCTCTTCTGCCCATGTTTCTATGGCTATTATCATAGGTTGCATTATTTTTTGATGAATCTACATTTATCTGTCTGACCACAATGAAAAGAGTATACTTCGCAGAAAATTAATAAAGTTGGCCCTGTGACTTGTTTGGATAAATAATATTTGTGAAAGTAATAGTTTATGAGCTCAGAGCACAGGCATTAAGAACCACATTTCTGCTAGTCCTGCTGAGAGTGGCTAATCACCATTATGAGAAGGCCAAATATCACATAGCCCACTGCTAAGAGAATAAAATATATAAAAAAGATCTGAACTGAATCTGTGGTCTGGAGCTAAGCCCATACATGCTCAGCATGTCTCAACTGAAAGCCAATGAAACCACAAATGGGTTACTGAGGAAAAATGAGTAAAAAATGCTTGTTTGTAAATGTCAATGCAACAGGGTTGTTTCTAACACAACTTTGACAATTAGATACAATATACATGTTATATGAATTAATTTTGAATAATTACATGTTTCTCTATATGAATATAAAGAATAAATATAGAGACTATAAAGACAATATATTCAAAGAGATGAATCGATAAAGACAATTAGTATTCACAAATAATAAGCAGGTATAGGAAGAATTATACCCTAAGAATCCTGAAACACCGTATCAGAAGAGCCGATGCACCCCAATGTTCATGAAGTGCAATTTACAATAGCCAAGTTCTGGAAACAGCTTAAGTGCCCATCAGTAAATGAGTGGATCAAAATATTGCAGTACATTTATACAATGGAACACTATGCAGCAGAAAGAAAGAAGGAACTCCTACTCTTTGTGACAGCATGGACAGAACTGGAGAGTATTAAGCTAAGTGAAATAAGCTAGGCAGTGAAAGACAAGTACCCTATGATCTCACCTATAAGTGGAACCTAATCAACAAAACAAATAATGTAGCAAAATAGAACCAGAGACATTGAAATAAAGAACCCACTGACAGTAACCAGAGGGAAGGGAGGAGGGAGATAATGTGGGGGAAAAAGGGAAGGGCCATCAAGGAACATGTATAAAGGACCCCTGGACAAAGACAATGGGTGGGGCAGATGGAATGTAGTATGTGGCAGGTGGGTAGGGCAGGGGAGAGTAATGGGGGGAAAGTTAGACCTAATGTAATTGAACAACAATAAAAAAATAAAATGAATAAAAAAGAACCCCCCAGAAATGGTTTCTCCGAATGATTTTCAAATTACTAAATGCCATCCCATGTTTTGTCAATTACTAACTGATTCAAATAGATACTTTATTTTTAATTTCTGTTTTCTCATTATTTAACACTTTATATTTTCTATCAAATTAGGTTTCTAAGCATAGTAGTTAAGAGTGTCAAAAAGGAAAGAGAGAATTTAATAAGACAATGTACCTTCCAAAATAACTAAAATCCAGTAGAGGAAAACAACAGATATGTAAAAAGTATCAAAGGACATTGATTATTACCCAATGAAACCAATTGTCTCTCAAAAAAACAAACAAAAAAACAAACAAAAAACCTCATTCATTGATACTGCTGCACTAAAATAGATTCAAAAGATATAAATTTTTTCCATACTCTGAGCAAGTGGAGCATATTCACATGGACTTTCTATAGAAACCTTGGAGTTGTTGCATAGTAGTAACCTTGAGTATCAATTAAGAATTTAATACTCTAAGCTCCAAATCTATAAGTATTGCCCTTTTTGAGATAATGGCACCAGGTCCTATAACATCTTTCCCAGTCAGTTCTATAATGTTTCTTCAGCAAAGGGCACTGAAGAGAAAGGATGACTCTTCCTGGTTTCTAGGTGTTTTCGCTCCTTTGGCTACAGTGGTGTGGTTGAAAGCTGAATGCATGAAAGAAGCTCTTGTAGTATGCACCCTCCAGCAAGTTTCTCTAAGTAGTCACAGCCATAGTTACCTCTCCTCTAGGCTCTATCTGCTGACATTTTGGCAGGGAGAGCCTCCTACTTGCCAGTCACATTGTGAGATCCATCCTCACCAAAATCAGCCTGCAGACAGGGAACTGCCATCCCCTAGAGCAGGCTAGTGAACATGTCTGGCACAGAGTGTTCTACAATGACACTGTCTTGCCAGAGACTCTGAAACCAATCCCCCTAGGAATTTGACCTGGGTACCACACTATTCTTTCTTTCGGTCCTCTTCTTTAACCTATAGTAGATTTTGCAATTTTTTTTCTATTCCTCCCTGCAGGCTATCCCCAACAAATAGCTAATAATTCTTTAATCATCCCTGGTTTCTCTCTCCTGGACTGCCTTAGATACCCTGCTATGCTGATATGCTCAGTCCTCATTTTAAACATTCCAAGGATGAGTAAAATAAATTATATTGAAAATGTATCTAAAATGACTCATGATACTTTAGACTTAGAAGTAACAGTACTTGATATTATAATTCATAATTCATACTTGATTTATTTTAATAAATAACAGAAGATTTAAAAATGTTTCATAGGTACCTGGATATATATTTTTAAAAATTAACATAAGCATAGATTTTAAAACAATCCTACAGTACCAAGGATGAAGCATCAGAAAAACTCTGGATTTTAATTGACTATGATGTGTCAATGTTGACTTATTCTCAGTAACAAATATCCCAGTCCACGGAGTGACGCTGATAATGGGGAGGCGCTGCACCCAGGGGGACAGGGGAATATGGGACATCTCAGCACCTTCCTCTTCATTTTGTGGTGAAATAAAACTGGTCTCAAAATAATTTCTTAAAAGTCAGTTTTACAAAAGTAATTGCAGCATTCTTGCAGAAGCTGGAAATGTATTCTTCAGAGATGGCGAGAGGAACATTATGCCAAGTGTAGGTAAGCTAATGTGCCTGGTGCTTACAAACATACGATCTGTTTTCTAAACAGGATTCAAAAGAGAGCTTCTGTGTGTCAAAATCCCCAAATGCACAATTCTCCAGCTTTGAAGTTTTTGAAGACCTGAAATACAGAGATAATAAATCATTCATCTGGTGATATATAACTTAATATTTTAATGCATAAACAATTTATTTACAGTAATATTTACATACTACGTCTGAATATTTCCTCATTTTTTCTCCAAAGACGCTTAAATAGATTCTTCATATAATTGTTGTCACATTGCTTTTAACTTCAAAGATTAATTCCTGAACTGAAAACATGAGGGAATAAAATATATGCATTCTAAAGAAGCTTACTTTTTGAAAGATAACATTGAGCCATTTTTCCACGCCCAGGAATTATTATTTCTGTGGGAAAGTCCAATCCATGGAAACTTTTTGAAAATGGTCAAAAAATTCTATGAGAAAACAAATTTTATGAGAAATTAAAGAAAAGCTGGCAGGCTACTTTGCATTTGTAAAAACAAACAAAGTGTGCCTGCAGTTAGAAGAGCGGGTGATGGCTAAATAAACTGCACAACCCACCAACATCAGATGAAGTTAGTGACCAGGCAAATCAACCAAGTCCTGCAATCCAGGAATTGTACGGGACCCCACCCAGCTGGCCCAGCATATCCATCATCCAGAAGACAATTTTTTATGGAAATATAAAGGACTGAATCAACGTGGAACACCTCAAGATTTGCCTGAATTGAGGTAACAGCTACTTGAGAAACAGCAGTATCTTAACCAACTGGCCAAAGAAATAGTTTGGATCTCTTCCCACTACCCTCAGTGAACAGCATGAAAGGAAAATACAGGAGACTATTTATTGGTTGAATTCACAGCATTATTGACTAACTTTCCAAAGGCCCGAAGGCCAGCTGTTGACAAAGAGAGAGAGCTTGTTGCACAAGTGGAGAGCCAGTTCCAAAGTATCTGGTGGTTTTCCAGAGGAGAGCTCAAATGAAAAGAATCTTGTGTCCTGGAAAAGTCAAACTCACCCTTAAGTTCAGGTGAAGGATGACGAAATTACAGAGGATGACCTCCACTTTATTCATGAGAGAGAGAATCTTCTATTAGGCAACTTGAAGCTGATGTTAAGGATGTTAATGAACTCTTTAAAGATCTGGGAATGATAATTCATGAGCAAAGAGGTGTGATAGCACAGAAGCCAAAGTTGAAAATGAAGGGGTACATGTCCAACAAGCCAACCAGCAACCATCAGGGGCAGCAGAGTATCAGAAAAAGAATCTTGTATGTTGCTGTGAGATGTACAAGCCATCAACGAAAAATAGAAATCTACAACGGGGTCAGCATGGGAGAATAAAACAAAAACCTTAACCTTTAAATTTTATTTTTATCATGTTTATTCTTTTAAAGATTCTATCTATTTTTAGAGAGAGAGGAAAAGAGGGAGAAAGAAAGAGAAACATCAATTGGTTGCCTCTCCTACACTCATCCAGGGACCAGTCCTCCAACATAGGAGTGTGCCCTGGCTAGGAACTGAAGCAATGACATTCCCATTGCGGAATGATGCCCATCCAACTGAGCAATACCAGTAAAGACAACCTTTATATTTTAAATGACTATATTATTATTCTTTTGCCTCTGGTTTTTATTTTATTGTGCATTGAGACTTTGAATGCAGGTTTTGTTAATATTAAACAATGAGGATGATTTTCAACACTAAATTATTTTTGAAAAAATATGACATTGATATTCTCAGCAAACTCATTTTGAAGCACAACTTTTTAAAACATCAATAGAGGACTTAAGGGCATGGACAATGGGTGGAGATTGACTGTGGGAGCGGGGCTGATGGGATAGGGGTGAGCAATGGGGAAAAAGGTGGGACAACTGTAACTGAACAACAATAAATTTTAAAAAAGAAAATAAAAAATAGTTTTTGGATAATGTTGACATTCAATATTGTTTTGGAAGTGTGTATAACTTGAGTACACACATATCCCCATTGGCTCTGGTCCCATCAGGCACCATGCATGGTTAGTGGAACATTGTGAACTATATTCTCCATGTTTGCTTTGCATTGGTTTGACTGTTTTGTAACAGGCAGTTTAAAAAACAATCTTTTGATAACATTTCAAAATTCACTAGCTTTAACCTTGTTTTAAATTTTCAACATAAGTAACCATTTTTTACTATTTTTCATTTAAAAAGGAATTATGTATTTTCCAATTAACTCTTGGTTTTTATATCAATGATTTTTTTTGGGTTGGTTTGGTTTTTACTTTATTTTTAAAAGGTTTTTATTTATTTATTTTTAGAGAGAGGTGAAGGAAGAGAGAGGAAAGAGAAACATTGATGTGCCACCATTGGTTGCCTTGAACACCACCAACCATGCACCCAGTCTGCAACCCAGCCATGTGCTCTGGCCATTTACTTTGTTTTTATTGAATTGAGAGAGAGAAATAGAGATACAGAGAGATAAAGAGAAACAGAGAGAGCAATCAATTTGTTGCTCTACTTTATTATGCATTCCTTGGTTGTTTCTTGTTCGTGCCCTGATGAAAAATCTAACCAACCACCTTAGCGTATTTGGATGATGCTCTAATCAGCTGACCTGCTTGGCCAGGACCTATAGCAATATTGTTTTCATGCACTAATTTGAATACTGTAAAGAGAATTGTATTAGTTTACAGTTTATATTTTATAATGTTCCTATATAAAAGTGAGATAAAGGCAATGTTTAATGGCAAGCTATGAGGCTTCAAAGGGGAACAAATAAAATATTAAGTTACTAAGAAAATTGAATATTTGCAACCAAAATACAGATGATTTTAAAAATGGAAAAACCACATAAAGTTAATTTTTTCTAAGTTCTAGTCTTTCCATTTATAATATGGTGTTACACATCAGACAGATTAAGGAAATGTGTTAGTATGTAGGTGAAAGGACAAACAACAAGTCTATGCCTCTGAAAGTTGACGAAAAAGTAATAATAACATGAGTATTTGTTATTGGAAAAGCAGCTAGAGATTCAAGTAAGAATAGAGCAAATTGGTAGTCTTCATGTCTAAATCTGCTCCCATGTCTCCCCTGATCTCCATCTCAGTACATGAGTAAGAACTATGAATTTTACTATTTGGAGAATGCTGTAAATATCAATGGTGTTGCCACAGGGGATGACTTGATTAGCAATGGAAAGGGATGTTAATTGCCCACTCCTTTTTCAGGTGAAAGTGCTGAATTTACAAGGTTAAAATTGAGAGAAACCACACTTTTTTTAATCTGAGATTGTTCTTGTCTGTATCAAGCACAAAGTCAGCCATAAATTCAACAGGAAGTTCTTCACAATGAGAGCACACTAGAAGAGATGGTGTTAAGCTTCTACACATGCTTGGTTGATGGAAACAAATTTGCATGGTGTAGAAGAAAAAAGATGGTCCAGTAAAAAGGAAATAAAAACCAAAGGGTACTTGAGAACTGATTTTAAAGTTATGAGCACTCCCCTAAAAACACAAACACAAATACATCAGCCGGTAGAGGGTGGAAGCCATAGGGACTTGAGGTATTGAAATACATTTTTTAAAAAATCACTGGTTGTCAACTAATCTTTGCATACCCAAGGAGAATCCCTAGTAATCCAGGCAAAAATATAATAATATAAAAAATGAGAATTTTAAAACCTGAGTAAGCACACTTCCAAAGAGAAAATTCTACAGTAATAGATTACTGAAGTTTCAAAAATATAAATCTAAGGATGAAGGAAAATCCATATTTACTATACTATATTATTTAAAGTATGTACTTATAGAAATTTTAAAACCATGCAAGGAATTGAATAATATCTTCCAAACTCAGCCATAAAATCTAACTTTTACGGAGATAGGATGTTAAATTTCTTCTCAAAATATTTTATAGTAATCATTATAAATATATTTACAGGAAAGTTATTTTTAAAACTTTGTTCAAGTAACTATGAAAATATAATGGCAGTGACAGAACAATTAGGGAAATAAAAACTGTATGAATGAATAAAAACTTCCTAGTTGAAAAATACATTACCTACATTAAATAATCCAATATATTTACATAAATAATGAGATGCAGATGAAAGAATTGATGAAATAAAGATGGAATAACAGAAATGATTAATTTGTGAGGGTAGAGAGAAAAAGAGAAAAAATTAACAGATCCTCAGAGAGCTTTAGACTTTTATGAGAATAATGGACATAGGTGTAATTATTGTCTGAGATTGAAAAGGGAGAAAGAAAAAAGACAGAAAAATATTTTTGAGTCACAATGAATGAACAACTTCTTAAATTTTATGTTAAAATGTATATACACTTACATAAAATTGTTTATGAAAAAAGATCATCTGCTATATATTATGCTGCATCAATTTGATAATGATGAAGAAAAGTATAAACCTCACTTTTACCACACAGCATTACAAACACAGCATCATAAAAATATAAATTATCAAAATATTATAAACCTAAATGTAAAAGTCAATCAATGAAGAAAAAAGATGAACTGTAGAAGTAATGTCCAATCTCCAAAATATATAAAGAACTTACACGACTTGGCTCCAGAAAGACGAACAACCCAATTAAAAAATGAACAAAGGACCTTAACAGAGACTTCTCCAAGGAGGATATACAGAGGGCCCAGAGACATATGAAAGGATACTCAGCTTCACTAGCCATTAAAGAGATGCAAATTAAAACAACGAGATGCCACTTCACACCAGTCAGAATGACCATCATAAACTAATCAACAATCAACAAGTGCTAGCCAGGTTGTGGGGAAAAGGGAACTCTAGTACACTGTTGGTAGGAATGCAGCCACTGTGGAAAACAGTATGGAATTTCTTCAAAAAACAAAGAATTTAAATGCCTTTTGACCTAGCAATTCCGCTGCTGGGATTATACCCTAAAAATACTGAAACACCAATTCAAAAGAAACTTCTCACCCCAATGTCCATAGCAGTGCAATTTACAACAGCCAAGTGCTGGAAACAGCCTAAATGCCCATCAGTAAATGAGTGGATCAAAAAACTGTTGGTACATTCAGACAATGGAATACTATGCAGCAGAAAGAAAGAAGGAACTCCTACCCTTCACGACAGCACGGATGGAACTGGAGAGTGTTATGCTAAGTAAAATAAGCCAGGTGGCAAAAGATAAATTCCATATGATCTCACACAAAGTGGAGCTTAATCAATGAAAGAAACAAGCAAGCAAAATATAACCAGAGAAATTGAAGAACAAACTGACAGTAACCAAGGGAAGGGGGAGGATCATAATGGGGGAAAGAAGAGGAAGGGTCAATCAAGGAACATATATAAAAGATCCACGGGCAAAGAAAATGGGGGAGTTGGACTGAAGGTGGGAGATGGGTGTGGGTGGGGTAGGAGAGGGTGGTGGAGGGAAAAAGGGGACAACTGTAGCTGAACAACAATAAAAAATAAAAAGAAACTTTAGATTCCAAAAAAATTGATAAATTGCAAAAATATAGTGTGGGAGTTAGATATAAAATGCATAATGAATGATTCTCGGTATATAAAGTTCAAAATTAGGCAAAGATAATTGCAATATAAAGTATCAGAATAGTGGTTAAGTGAGGAAAGAAGAGAAGTTATGAGAGAGTGCACAGGAATGGACTGGTAACATCCATTTCATGATCTCATTTGTATTACGTCGGTCTTCTCATTGTAATATGCACAAACATGGTACCTTTAGTTTCCATGATGCATGTTAAATTAAGTAGCAGTTACTTTTGGAACAAAGCATTTATAGGAGCACGGTTGTCTATGAAAACCAAGACCTAGATGTTATGGATGTGCTGTAATGGCATAAAATATAAATAAAATATTATTGAATCAAACATAAAACATTAATGTTCTTTAAAATAAACTACAGATAGATACATAAATATGAGAGAATTCTCTAAAAATGTAAAATAAAATATTCTTTTAAATGAAATGTTTGAAACATTGAAAATCTTACCATTTCCTCTTCATTATTTATATAGAGCAGGCCAGAGTTCTTATACAGGCCATCCAACTCTCATTCCATGTCTTATGTTCAGTAATAAGATAGTAGCAATTGTTGGAATACCTTATTCACTCTGGTGGACAACAACCACAAGGATATGCTGAAGAAAGATTGTGCACTGTTATCCAAGAACAGTGCACATTCAAATATGAATTTTGATTTTGATATTTGTATAGGTATAGACAATTTGTGCACAACATATGTATATACCTCACAGACCAGTGTATATAAAGAAAAATACATTAACATACACCCATACACACTCAAAGAGAAGGGTCAGCTTCTCGTTCCCTAATTTATGTGCCTGTATTAAGCAAACACACAAAAATATCCACTTTCTATGTGTCCTGTATAAATGTTATGTATATACCATACAGCTATGAAAATTAACAAACTACAAGTATATGCAATAATATAGGAACTTGACCACCAACATACACCATACACCAAAGTCTACTCAAGATGGTTACAAAACTTAAATATACGTCACAGCACCATGAAAGTCCTAGAGGAGAACATAGGCAGGAAAATTTCAGATATTCCACATGGCAATATTTTCACCAATATGTCCCCTAGAGCAACTGACATAAAGGAAAAAATAAACAAATGGGACTTCATCAAATTAAAAAGCTTCTGTGCTGATAAAGGAAATATCAGCAAAATGAAGAGAACCAACCATATGGGAAAATATTTTTTCCAATGATACCTCAGAAAAGGATCTAATCTCCAAAATATACGACTGGAGTCCAGGAAGACCAAAAAAAAAAAAAAAAAACAATTAAAAAATGGACAAAGGACCTGAACAGGCACTTCTCCAAGGAGGACACACAGAGGGTCCAGACACATATGAAAGGATGCTCAGCTTCACTAGCCATCAGACAAATGAAGATTAAATCCACAATGAGATACCACTTCACACCAGTCAGAATGGCCATCGTTAATAAATCAACAACCTGCTGGCCAGGTTGTGGGGAAAAGGGAGCCCTAGCTTGCTGTTGGTAAGAATACGGACTGGTGCAGTCACTGTGGAAAACTCTATGGATTTTCCTCAACAAACTATAAATCGATCTGCCTTTGGACCTGGCAATTCCTTTGCTGGGATTATACCATAAGAATCATGAAACACCAATTTAAAAGAACCTACGCACCCCAATGTCCATAGCAGTGCAATTTACAACAGCCAAGTGCTGGAAGCTGCCTAAGTGTCCATCAGTAAATGTGTGGATCAAAAACCTGTGCTACGTTTACACAGTGGAATACTATGCAGCAGAAAGAAAGAAGAAACGCCTACCTGTCCGAACAGCATGGATGGAACTGGAGAGCATTATGCTACTGAAATAAGCCAGGGACAGTGAAAGACACATTCCATATGATCTCACCTATAAGTGGACCCTAGTCAACGAAAGAAACAAGCAAGCGAAATATAACCAGAGACATTGAAATAAAGAACAAACTGACAGTAACCAGGGGGGACAAGGGGGGGCAGGGTCAAGTCCAGGAACATGTATAAAGGACCCATGGACAAAGAAAGTGAGTGTAGGAGGTGGGCTGTGTGTGGTCAGGCAGGGTGGAGGAGGGAAAAAGGGGACGACAGCAGTTGAGCAACAATGAAACAAATAAAAAGCAACTTTAGATCAAAAACTCTTGATCTAAAGTTACTTTCCAAAACTGAATTGGAAAAATATCATATGGGAGTTAATGAAGAGACATAAAATGCGTAATGAATGATTCTCAGTATATGAAGTTCAACATCAAGCAAAGATAATTTGTAATATAAAGTATCAGAATGGTGGTTAATTGTGGAAAGAAGAGGAGTTATGCGAGAGTGCACAGGAGTGGATTGGCAAATTCTGTTTTATCATCTCCTTTGTATTACCTGGGTCTTTTCATTGTAATATGCCCAAACAGGTATCTTTAGTTTCCGTGATGCATGGTGAAACTAAGTAGCAGTTACTTTAGGGAAAAAAAATCATTTATTGAAGCGCGGATGTCTATGCAAATCAAGACCTAGATATTATCAAATGAGCATTCATGGTATAAATATAAATAAAATATTATTGAGTCAAACAATAAAATATTAACAATTTATAAAATAAAAGACAGGTATATACAGAAATATGAATGAATTCTATAAAAATGTAAAATAAAATACTCTTTAAATTTTAAATGAAATGTTTGAAACATTGAGAATCTTACCATTTCCTCTTCATTATCTACATAGAGCAGGCTAGAGTTCTTAGCAGCACAGGCCATCCAACTCTCATTCCATGTCTTTTGTTCAGTACTGATGTAGTAGCAATTGTTGGAATACCTTATCCACTCCGGCGGACAATGACCACAAGGATATGCTGGAGAAAGATTATGCACTGTTATCCAAGAACAATACACATTTAAAAATGAAAATTCATTTTGACATTTGCGTAAGTGTAGACACATTTGTGCATAGCATATGTATATACCCTCACAGACTAGTGTATATAAAGCAAAAGGCACTCATATATATACACCCACATGCACTCAAAGAGAAGGGTCAGCTTCTCATTCCCTCATTGATGTGCCTACATTAATCAAACACACAAACAAAAATATCCACTTTCTATATGTCCTGAATGTTAATGAATGAAATTACATTTTTAGAATACCAAAATTACCTTTGAGCTAATTGGCAACAATGGGTATGATGATTTTAAATGACTATTTATTCATATTTTTGCATAAGAAACACTATTTTATATTCATTATTTATGTATATGTATTGTTCATTATTATACTTTATATTCTGCCACCAATAAAGCTACAAATTTTGACTATATTAGAGACAAAGTATGAACTGTACTAATATCAGAACATACAAAATAATAATGTACCTTTTTGGATCCCTGTTGTCAAAGAAGGTTCATTCTGCTGTGGTTTTACATAAGCTAGAAATCAATTAATTATTATTAAAATTTAATGATCTAAATAAATCTTATACTTTTGCTTCTTACTTTTAAATGTGGTATATTGTCAAGGATTAAAGTTATCTGGAATAAAATTGATTTTACTAAGAAAAATTAATGGAACAATGATAATTTAGGGGAAAATACTTCAAAAACATTGAGAACAAAACTTCACCAACTCTTACACTATTTGGTTTAATCAATATGAATTTATTTGTATTTCTCCGTAGTGTACCTTAAGGCATGCTTGAATTATAACACAAGAATATATATGGATATATTGAATATATAGGTATATATACTTACAAACTACTTTTTAAAATAATGCAGATATTCATACATTGGACAAATACAGAATAACAATCTTGCACTTAGTCTAAAGGCATACTTTAAAATAAGTTCTATTATCTAATATTATGAAGTGTTTGGAGGCACTGATGAACATAAAGTAAAAAGTTTCATAAAAACTTACAATAATTTACTTACAGTGAGTAACAGCTATCGCTACTACAGTGGACAGCAGGACAAGGCACAGGATCCCAGCAATGAGCTTTTCTGGAGGTGATGGGGATGCTGCAGGGAGAGAAGAGGAAACACTGAGGAAGGAGGGAGAGAGACAATAGTTTGGACAGTTTACATACAGAGAATAAAATATATAAACTTGGACCCCAAATCCATATCTTCCACTGTAATCTTCCTCTCAGAATGCATCATTGCATTTTCACTAAGTATAATGCTCTATGAGTTATTGGTCAAAGAAGACAACTTACAACAATGTCTGAATAAAATATTCCTCAGCTTTCATCTTCGAATACCATATTCCAAATTCAAGCTCTATCCTTAAGATAAAAAAATCTATGAGTTTATTCCCTACCCTCTCCCACACCTCTGCACCCCAGCTGCACATCCTAGAACACCTATACTGTGTGTCTGAAAGTGTTACCTTTGTGGTGGTCATTCTTGTCCTCTCCTTGAAGATCCTGAGAAGCATTTTGAAGATTTAGCTCTGCATAGGTTATTCCCTGCTCAGTTACTGGAATGGAGCCTCTAGTGCCCTTAGGTTTCATTTGTTGTCTGTCTGAGTCCTTCACCAGATTTAGTTCTGTGTAGGTTAGCCTTTGGTCACTCATCTCTGCAGCTGAGCGGTGTCTGAGACTGTGCTCTAAAGTATGTGTGTTTACGAATAAATGGTACATGCAGTGAAGAGATCCCTCACAGTAACAGTGGGCGGAGTAGAGGGTGAGTATAGGGCTCATTTCCTAGGTGAAGAGTCCAATGTTCTGGTTATAAATTTCTTAGATCTTTAAGGAAGTGCCTCATGGTAGATATAATTTTTAAGATATTCCACATTTGACTGTAAAGTATTTGAGCATTAAAAAGCTGTATGTTACTAATTAATAAAATAATTTCATTTTAATACCACCTTAATTTATTTAAAGTCAGATTCCACAAAATATTTTAACACCATTAGAATGATAGTTTTAAAAATAATATGCTGTATTATAAAAAAAGACAATATGATAAATTTGAAATTTAATAATGATTAAAGGATGAACGCTCTAAAGGTGGGGCACTAGTCATGTTGGAATATATAATGGTTTTCTGAACTAAGTCAATTTTATTTAGTGACATACATTTATTTGTTAAAGAGGAAGAGTTGTTATGAAATGATCTTTTATTTTGAATGTTTGATAAATCATTACAAATTAAAAATATTTCATATGTTGAAACACCTGAGTCACACTAAACTCATTCAAACCCTAAACAACGTTAGCAATAAAACAAAAACCATGAAATTTTTAAAATACATATGTTACACAAGAAATTGGCCATTGAGTTATGGGCAAAGATATACAACCATAACATGATAAATAAATGCGTAGGTCATTTATATTAAAACACTGTTGTTTCAAACCTCCATATATTTCCTATGGATGTTAAAGTCAGTGAGGGTACCTTTAGTTATATAAGCAATAGTAGTGAATCAAATAATGTAATTTAATAATTCATTGAATGGGGTGTATGGCAGTGATTTCCAGAATTAATTCTGTCTGAAATTTGCAAAGTATGACCTTTACAAAGCTACTTAGTGTCTAGCAACTTAGTTTACTACTGTAAAATAGGAATAAAAACATATAGACATAATACATGTAAAATATTTAATATTTCACCTTTTTATAAGCTCCCAATAATATTTTAGTTATCCTAATTATTATTTCAATACATTTTTTATGTTACCTTTGATTTATATCAGTGGAATGCTGTAGCTTAATCCATTAGGCAGAGTCTCTTTATCAATGTGGTACTTTTTCTAGCAATGATTACTTAATTCTTAAAAAGTCTTTTGATTGTTTATAATTAAGTTTCAATTAGAATTTTATGGGAGTACTTCATTCTGATTTTATTAAAAGCTAATTACATTTATTTAATCTAATTAAGTGTATAAAATATTATGTTTGACCTCTATAATTAATATGATTTATTTTAAAAATCTCTTTTTAATGGTTGGTCTAAATATAAAATAATATATAATTATATCTATATTGAACATAAAATAAAATAAGTGACTGTTCCTTTTCATGATCCTTATAAGATTTTACTTTAAATTGTTTTCATTAACACAATCAATTATTCATGTGTGTTTGCACTTGAGTATTCTCCCCAGACAAGACTTTGAGTAGTTCAAGATATCCTTCGACATATTTCATATTTTATTCTTTATTTTTTACCTTAAATTATTTGAATAAAGATACCAATGTTCTCTTTGATTTGATTGTATATTAATCATACCTCACTTGTATCACATCTTGCATTGTAATCTCCCCCTGCATGAGACGTGCTGAGAGAGACAGGAGAGCAGAGACACACGCCTCTGGAAGCCAGAAAGTCCTGCATCCTTTAGTGGGAGACCAGCTTGCTCTAGTAAACAAACAATCTCTGTGGTCTTCACAGACTGCCCTGTGAGGCCTCAGAGTGAGGCATAAGTGGAAAAAGTAGATTTCTCATTAATGTGTCACTTAAAAGTTTGAACAGGAAATTCTTACACTTGAGCTATTTTAAAGATTGTTTATTTCATCACACACCTCCAGAATATGGGAGTCTGTTAGCTTGTAGTGTGCCATTTATTTTGTCTATTACTAAGTGCCTCTGAGAAATTACTTTTACATTCTCAAAGATATCTGGGACAAAAAAACTTGACCATCCATGCTCTTAACTTACTCCATCTTAAAAGTTACAAACACTGAAAATTTAGGCCTTGTTAAGAGTATTTTAGATGTTGAAGTCCTATTCTTAGACAAGGTTGCTAAATAGTGGCATTACTTAAATTCATTTATACTCTTATTGTCTTTCAGTTATAATGGAAAAAGCTAAAATCATAGTCTGATTAACAATAGGTAATCAATGATATTTGTCACTAATATGCTGAAGAATGAATACATTTTTAACATAGGGTAACTGTCACAAATAATAATTCCCAAACTTATCTCCTCAATCTCTCTGCCCTTGTTTTTAAAATGGCTGCATCAAATTTTATTTTTACGTAAGTAATTTATATTTCCCCTAATAAAAATAAGTGTCTCTGTGAAGGAAAGAACCTTAACAACATTATATTATACCATAATGTAAGAGATTGAAGTATTAAACTACTACTCATTATATCATTTATTAATTTATTTTCCAATCATAGTTGTCAATATTTTAACAAAAATATTTGTTGTAAAATACAAAAGCCAAATTATAACTATTAGGAAGAAAACAGATGTAATTTTTAAAAATTTCACATAACCGAAACAGGCAAGGGCACTAAAAGTAGTTTTGAAAACACAAGTTAAGTGACACATGACCATCAGAAAAAATAAAACATTAAATCTGAGTCATCTAGTATGTCTCAAAAGGAATTCTTTTCACCTGTCTCTCAGAGTATCAAGAAAAGAGGAAATATTTATCCATCATTGGTAAGTAAGTTATGATTAAAAATACCATATGGTCTAGAGATCCCACTTATGGGTATCTACTCGAAGAAAGTGACACAACTATTATGAAGAAAGATGTGTATCCCCAGGTTCTTTGAAGAGTTATTCACCGTAACTAAGGTTTGAAAGCAACCTAAGTATGTTTAATAGATTAATAATTAAAAATATTATACACACACACACACACACACACACACACACACTGAGTTATATTCAGCCATGAGAAAAAGAAATTTCTGTCATTTGTGACCAGGATGAACCTGAAGGCATTTTGCTAAGTGAAATAAGCAAGACAAAGAAAGACTAATACTGCATGGTATCATTAATATGTGAAATTTTAAAAAAATTTCATAGAATAGTGGTTGTCAGGGGATGGAAGCAGAGAATATAAGGGGAAGTTGGTAGAAGAGTACAAACTTCATTTATAAGATGAAGGCCTAAGGGTCTAATATATGACATGGTGGCTATTATAGAGCCAATAACACTGTATAGTATAATTGAAATTTACTATGATGAAAATTTTAAATGTCCTTACCAAAGGGGAAAAAGGTAACAAACCACAGATTGTAAAAATTTTAATTGATATTAAACCCTGCTGAATATGAAAAATCTTAAAGAAAATTCTACAAATTGCTAGTTACAAAATTTTCAGGGGGATGTAAAACATAAGAAATACAGTCAATAATATTGAAATAACTACATATAGTGCCAGGTGGGTACTAGACGTATTTGGGGATCATTTCGTAAGTAATCAAATGTCTAAAAACTGTGCTATAGGCCTGAAATTACTATACAGTAAAATGTTGGGAAACACCCTGTCTGGTTTCAAGAACTGTAACACTGCTGGCAGGCGAGAGAGCCCTGAGGCTGGAAATTATCAAGGAGCCTTGGGAAAATAGGCCACTGCGGAGACAAAACCTGTCCCCCTGGCAGAGGTACAGCCCCTGCCTCCCTCACATCACCCTGCTTGGTCGTGTGATGGTGGGTGATCCATGAAGGGTAAGCTTTTTCACAAGGAGACAAGACCCAAGAGAGACATAGGCTGGTATGGGCAAGAGACAAGGGCATGGGGGACACGGAGAAAGGGCAAAAAATGCTTGCACCCCTCCGCTTGGCTTGGACATGGCCAGAGTCCTCTTCTATCTGAAAGGTGTCTCCTTGTCTCTTGGCAGCTCCCTCCGCCACCTGGCTCTGGTTCGAAACAATACTGGAGTCAGCCGTAAACTGGATCTGGTGGTTCCCAGGGGAAACCAGACTTAAAAGTAAATTCTTTATAGTATGCTTTTTTCCCCTTCAAAAGCTATGAAAGCCAGCTCATGCTGGGAAAGAAATTTACATTATTCACAGACCCAACCCTAAATCCTTTGGCGCTCTCATGTTTACGCTCTCATGCTTACTAGTCTCCTCTTGGACCCATGTAAATTGCTTTGTTCTTGCCATTTGTCTTCTTCAAAACATCTATTGTCTGTAAACATTAACATACAGATGTAATGAGATAACCTGTGCATTCCTGTTACCTAGCCCCCGCTGATAACTCTTCCAATAAAAGCTTTTGAACAAAGGGGCTCGGGGTCTTCCCTACTAGAGGGAAGAGTCATGCCATGCCCCTTCTCCTGGCAAAGGGAGACGTGTTTGCTATGACTCATGTTCCCCCACCCCCGTGACAGCCCCGGGGCAGGCTCTGTGGGATTCAGAGCCCAGCTCCCATCTCAGCAGGCCCGGACAGTAACCCTCAAATCCCGGAGCACCACACTCCCGGCAAAGCGCTCAGTCCCCCGTGGCACTTGTCCCCCCTGGACGTGGGACAAGCAGCGACCCGCGGTGCTAGCCCACTAGGCAATAATATTGAATGTCTGCTGTAATTTAAAAATAAAATAAAATTGCATTTGCAAAGATGAAAAGGTATTCTATAATATGGTTTTATCTCTTTACCTAAGTGCAACATTTGACAGTCCTGTGAACAATATCATTACTTAACACCTATTATATTCTGAAAATAATTGAGGTCAGAAAATCATGGGATGAAAAGTTCGATCATAAAACCATGTCCTTCATTCATTTCATTAAGCCAACACAAACGCTTTCCCGAAGGCTATGATATGCTTATACATTTGGGTTAAAAAAAAAAAAAGGTAACAGGAGTTTTTCTATTTTGAAAGGATAAAGAGAAATTATTTAAAGTTTTAAGTTTAATTTTTATGAAATCCATTTTTTAATTTAGTTAACAAATAAAATGAAGAAATGTGTCTTATTTACCTTACTCATTGGAGAGAGAAACCAAAATATGAATCATGTTTCTATTTGGTAAGCCAATTGGCTTAGTTGTGTGAATTAGTCTAAAATGAATTTTCTGGGAAATATCCACTCAAAAGAAAAGTATGTAGTCTCAGATGTGATGTTTTTGCCAATCTTTTTGTAGTTATTTTTTCTCTGCTTTTTCGCTCTGTCTCTAAATTGTCAAAATCAGTAAACATTATAGGATAGTGAAATATAGCCTTATAAGCTCAGAAATACAAATAGGCAAAGAATCACCATTCAGTCTGGTCTCTCCACTTCTTACGGGATTAGTACAAAAGTATCTTCTAGACGAATTGTATTACTGACAGGCGCTGAATGTTAGTGAGGAACTATGGAAAGAGTAATTGGTCATCTTCAGCAGTGATAAAACAAAAACATTGTAAACAGTGTAATACCTTGTAAACACATGGTAAGCCTATATTTTTGAGATATATTAAACATAAGATTTGCCTGTAAATCAAATTAGAATTTCTTTTTTTAATGATATCCAATTACAGTTGTCCCAATTTTCCCTCCGTTGCTCCCCCTGCCCCGCCTACCCTGTTACCCTCTTACCCTGTTGTCTGTGCCCAGGGGTCCTTCATACATGTTCCTTCACTAGTCCCTTCCCCTTCCTTCCCCTGTTATGCACCTCCCTATTCCCCTCTGGTCATCGTCTATTTGTTCATTATTTCAATGTCTCTGGTTCTATTTTGTTCATTCGGTTCCACTTCTTGAGGAGATCAATGGTATTTGTCTTATATCTTCTGGCTTAAGAAAACCCATACTGCTGTCTTTTGTATTAACCATAAAACATCTGTGTAACCTACATGTAGATGACCTGTGATTTTACACATTTTACACATCCTGTATTTTTATACCATTAGATATGTTGTGGATTTTGACATGCCTTGTGATTTTCCCTCCCCTTTATGGTAGAAATTCTAGCTAACAGGTCTCTATTACCGTTCATCTTTTGTGATACTTTTATATATTGGTTTGTGTCATTTAAATTTCATAGGCTCTATCTTATGGACCCCTAACAGAATGGAAAACTTTAATTTGCATAAAGTATAAAATACACAATGTTGATAAAATTAAGATATTTAGGTTTTGTGCAAAATGTGATATATGTGCATCTGTGTATTATGGAATTATTCCAAAATAATTATCATTACTCTCTCATAAAGCCACTTTATGTGGGGTTTTGTTTCTTATATTTATCATTTTTTATTGCTATTCAATTACACTTGTCTAAACTTTTCCCTTTCTGACCTCCTCCACCCATCCCCGTCCTTGCTCTCACAGTCAATTCCCACACTTTGTTCATGTCCGTGGGTCATTCATACATGTTCTTTGTCTACTCCCTTCTCCTTCTTTCCATGATTGTTCCCCTTCCCCAAGCCCCCTGGTCACTTTCAGTCTGCTTCATGTTTCCATGCCTCTGGTTCTATTTTGTTTGTTAGTTTATTTTGTTTGTTAAATTCCTTTTATAGGTGAGATCATATGGTATTTGTCTTTAACAGGCTGGCATTTTTCACTTAGCATAATATTCTCTAATTCCATCCATGCCTTCTTTCTTTCTGCTGTGTAGTATTCCATGTGTTAACGTACCACAGTTTTTAGATCCATTCATTTACTGATAGACACTTAGGCTTTTTCCACCACTTGGCTATGGTAAGTAGTGCTGCTATGAACATAAAGGTGCCGAAGTTCCTCTGAAATGGTGACTCAGGATTCTTAGGGTATATTCCCAGCAGCAGAATTACTGCATCAAAAGACACTTCCATTTTTAGCTTGTTAATGTCAATTATTATTTGACAAAGGGAGCGGAGCATACAATGGAGTAAAGATAGCCTCTTCAATAAATGGTGCTGGGAGAACAGGACGGGTACATGTAGAAAAATGAAGCTAGACCACCAACTTACACCATTCACTAGAATGAACTCAAAATGGATAAAAGACACATATAAGTCATAACACCATAAAAGTCCTAGAAGAAAACAGAGGCATGAAAATTTCAGATATCGCACATAGATATTTGTGTTGGTTCCGTTCTCTGAACTAGTGTGGCATAGTCACATGGGTTTTCTATAGAATCTTGGGGTCATTGCATGGTAACCTTGAGTGCCAATTAACAATTTAGTTCTCCCTGCTCCAAACCTGTACATGCTCCCCTTCCTGAGATAATGAAATCAGATCCTATAACCTTTCTCCAGTCAGCTGGCTTGATACTTTTTCTGTGAAGGGCACTGGAGAAGAAGGGTTCCTCTTCCTGGTTTCATGGGGTGTGGCAGACAGCTGAATTCCTGCAGGAAGTTCTTGCGGTATTCACCCTCCAGCAAGTTTCTGTGACTAGTCACAGCCATAGTCCCCTCTTCTCCAGCCTCTGCCTGCTGACATTTTGGCAGGGAGGGCCTTGTACTTGCCGATCACAGTGTGAGATCTGTCCTCACCAACAGCAGCCTGCAGACCGGGAACTGCTCTCTCCTAGAGCAGGCCAGTAAACATGTCCACTTCAAAGTGTTCTGTAGTGTCACTGTCTGTCATAGAGGCTGAAACCCATCCCCGAGGAAGTTGACCTGGGTCCCAATGATTCTTCCTTTTGGTCCTCTTCTTTAACCTATGGTAGATGTTGTCATTTTTTTCTATCCCTCTGTGCAGTCTGTCTCCCACAAATAGCTAATAATTCTTTAATCATTCCTGGTTCCTCCCTCTTGACTGGACTGCCTTACACACCTTGCTATGCTGATATGTTCAGTCCTCATTTTCAACATTCCAGGGTTGTGTAAAATAAATTATATTGAAAATCTATCTAAAATGATTCATGTTATTTTAGACTTAGAAGTACCAGTACTTGATATTATAATTCATAATTCATACTTGATTTATTTTAATAAATAACAGAAGATTTAAAAATGTTTCATAGGTACCTGGACATGTATTTTAAAAAATTAACATAACTGTACATTTTAAAACAATTCTACAATACCTAGGATGAAGCATCAGAAGAACTATGGGTTTTAAGGGACTATGATGTGTCAGTGTAGACTCATTCTCAATAACAAATGCCCGGCCTGGTGAGTGACGCTGATAATGGGGAGGCGCTGCACACAGGGGGACAGGGGAAGATGGGACATCTCGGCACCTCCCTCTTCATTTTGTGGTGAAATAAAACTGGTCTCAAAATAATTTCTTAAAAATCAGTTTTACAAAAGTAATTGCAGCATTCCTGAAGAAGCTGGAAATGTGTTCTTCAGAGACGGTGAGAGGAACATTATACCAAATGTAGGGAAGCTAATGTGCCTGGTGCTTACAAACATACGATCTGTTTTTTAAACAGGATTCAAAAGAGAGCTTCTGTGTGTCAAAATCCCCAAATGCACAATACTCCAACTTTGAAGTTTTTGAAGACCTGAAACACAAAAATAATAAATCATTCATCTGGTGATCTATAACTTAATATTTTAATATATTAACAAATTATTTACAGTAATATTTATATAGTAAATCTGAATATTTTCTAATTTTTTCTCCAAAAACACAAATAAATTCTTCATATAATTGTTGACACATTGCTTTTAATCACTAAGATTAATTCCTGATTTGAAAACACAAAGCAATAAAATATATGCATTCTTAAGAAACTTACTTTTTGAAAGATAACATTGAGTCATTTTTCCACACCCAGGAATTATTATTATTTCTGTGGGAGAATCCAATCCATGGAAGTTTGTTGAAAATGTTCAAAAAATTCTGTGAGAAAAGAAATTTTATGAGAAATTAAATAAAAGCTGGTAGGCTACTTTGCATTTGTAAAAACAAATAATTTGCCCGCAGTTAGAAGAGCAGCTGATGGCTAAGTAAACTGCACAACACACCAACATCTGCTGAAGTTAGTAAATAAGCAAGTCAACCACATCCTGCAATCCAGGAATTGTAGGGGACCCTACCCAGCTGCCCCAGCATATCCATTATCCAGAAGATAATATTTTATGGAAATATAAAGGACTGAATCAATGTGGAACATCTCAAAATTCTCCTGAAATGAGGCAACAGCTGCAAGAGAAGCAGCAGTATCCTTACCAACAAGCCAAAGAAACAGATAAGTCCATTAAACAGTTTGAATCTCTTCCCACCACCTGAGGGAACAGCATGAAAGGAAAATACAGGAGATTACTCTTTGGTTGAATTCACAACATCACTGACCAACTTCCCAAAGTCCAAAGGCCAGCTGCTGAGAAAGAGAAAGAGCTTGTTGCACAAGTGGGGAGCCAGTCTCAGAGTAGCTGGTGGTTTTCCTGAGGAGAGCTCAAATGAAAGGAACCTTCTGCCTGGAAAAGTCATACTCACCCTTAAGGTCAGGTGAAGGATAAGGAAATTACAGATGACGTCTGCCTTATTCACGAGAGAGAGAATCATATTAGGCAACTTGAAGTTGATATTATGGATATTAATGAACTTTTTAAATATCCGGGAATGATAATTCATGGGAAAAGAGATGTGAAAGCATAGTAGTTAAAATTGAAAATGTAAGGGTGCATGTCCAACAAGCCAACCAGCAACCATCAGGGGCAGCAGAATATCAGAAAAATAATCCTGCATGTTGCTGTGGATGCAGAAGCCAATAAAGAAAAATAGAAATCTACAACTGGGATAACATGGGAGAATAAAAGAAAAATCTTAACCTTTATGTTTTATTTTATTATATTTATTATTTTAAAAATTATTTTTATTGATTTTTTAGAAAGAGAGGAAGGGAAAGAGAAAGAAAAGGAAACAGCAGTTGGTTGCCTTCCTAGGTTCAACTGGGAACTGATCCTGCAACCACACGGGCATGTGCCCTGGCTAGGAACTGAACCAATGACATTCCCATTGTGGAATGATGCCCATCCAACTGAGCCATACCAGTAAAGACAACCTTTATATTTTAAATGACTATATTATTATTCTTTTGCCTCTGGTTTTTATTTTATTTTGCATTGAGACTTTGAATGCAAGTTTTTTTAATATTAAACAATGAGGATGATTTTGGATACTAATTAACTTACCTTTGAAAAAATAATTGACAGTGATATTCTCAGCAAACTCATTTTGAAGCACAACTTTTTAAAACACCAATAGAGGACTCATGAGCATGGTCAATGGGTGGGGACTAACTGCGGGAAGGGGGTTAATGGGGTAGGAGTGAGCAATGGGGAAAAAGCTGGGACAACTGTAACTGAACAACAATAAATTTAAACAAATAAAAATAAAAAATTGATTTTGGATAAAGTGGACATTCAATATTGTTTTGGAAGTGTGTATACCTAGTGTTTGCACATATCCCCAATGGCTCTGGGTCCCATCTGGTACCATGCATGGATATTGGAATGTTGTCGACTATTTTCCTCCTATTGTGCTTTGCATTGATTTGACTGCTTTTAAAGCAGCCAATTTTAAAAAAAACAACTTTTTGATAAAGTTTCAAAATTCATGAGCTTTAAATCTGTTCTACATTTTCATACATAAGTAACCATTTTTTATTATTAATTTAAAAAGGAATTAGGTGTTAGCCAGTTAACTCACTTATGTTTTTATGTCAATGTTGTTGTTTTGTTTTGGTTTTCCTCTATTTTTATTTTTTTTAATTGTTATTTATTTATTTTTAGAGAGAGGGGAAGGGAGGGAGAGAGAAGGGGAGAGAAACATCCATGCACCATTGGTTGCCTTGAACACTACCAACTGGAGACCCTGCCTGCAACACAACTATGCACTCTGGCCATTTACTTTGTTTTTATAGATTTGAGATAGAGAGAAAGAGACAGAGATAGGTAGGGGGAGGAGAGAGACAGAGAGAGGAAGAGGGAGAGAGAGCAACTAATTTGTTGTTCCACTTATTTTTGCATTCCTTGGTTGCTTCTCGTTTGTGCCCTGATGGGAAATCAAAGCAACCACCTTTGTGTATTTGGGAGATGCTCTAACCAGCTGACCTACCTGGCCAGGCTCCCTACTAATGTTGTTTTGATGCACTAATCTGAATACTATAAAGAGAACTATATTAGTTTATAGTTTGTGTTATATAATGTTTTTATAAAGCAGTTTGATAAAGACAATGTTCAATGGCAAGCTATGAGACTTCACATTTGAACAAATAAAGTATTAAGTTACTAAGTAAATTGAATATTTACTACCAAAATACAGATGATTTTAAAAATGAAAAACTAAATAAAGTAAATTTTTTCTAAATTATAGACTTTTAATTTATAATATTTTGTTACACATTGGACAGATTAAGAAAATGTATTAGTATGATTAGGTGAAAGGACAAACAACAAGTTTAAACCTCTGAAAGTTGATGAAAGAGTAATAATAACATGAGTATTTGTTATTGGAAAAACAGCTAGAGATTCAAGCAAGCATAGAAATTGGTAGTCTTCATGCCTACGTTTGCTCCCATGTCTCCTCTAAGCCTCATCTCAGTGAATGAGTAAGAACTGTAAATTTTACTATTTGGAGAATGCTGCAAATATCAATGGTGTTGTTGCTACAGGGAATGACTTGATTAGCAATGGAAGCAGATGTTAAATTGCCCACTTTTTTTTCTGGTCGAAGTGCTGAATTTACAAGGTTAAAATTGAGGGAAACCATCCTTTTTTTAATGTGAGATTGTTCTTGTTTGTGTCAAGCACAGTGTCAGCCATAAACTCAACAAGAACATACTCAAAAGGAGAGCACACTAGAAGAGATATTAACCATCTAGACGTGCTTGTGTTGATAGAAAAAGACTGCACTGTGTAGAAGAAACAAAGATGGTCCAGTAAAAAGAAAATGTAAGCCAAAGGAAACTTGAGAACTGATTTTAAAATTGTGAGCACTCCCCTGCAAGCACACACACAAATGCATCAAATATCAAAGGGCAGAAGCCATAGGGACTTGAAGCACTTGAATAAATTTTTAAAAAATAATTGGTTGTCAAGTAGGATACACATATTTAAGGAGAATCCCTACTAACATGTTAAAAATAAATTTAATAATAGAATTTAAAAAATTGAGTAAGTACATTTCAAAAGAGAAGATTCTACACTAATAGTTTACTGAAAGTTACAAAAATATAAATCTAAGAAGGATGAAGGAGGATCCATATTTATGATATATATTATTAAAAATATGTACTTACAAAAATTTTTAAATGTACAAAGAACCTGAAAAATATCTTCCATACTTGGGGGATATCTGGCTATAAAATCTAACTTTTGCTGGAAGAAGATGTTGGGTTTATTATACATATATTTAATAGTTACTATTATAAATAAATATTTACCTAAAATTTATTTTAAAAATTATGTTCAGATAACTATATGAAAAATATGATGGCAGTGACAAAACAATTAGGGAAATAAAAACTATATGAATGAATTGTAAAATTGTATGTAAAATTGTGAGTTGAAAATCATTCCCTATATTAAAAAATTCAATACATTTACATACATTTTGAGATGCAGAATAAAGAAGTGAGGAAATTAAAAATGGAGTGGTAGAAATGATTAATTCCTGAGAGTAGAGAGAGAAAAAGAGAAAAATTAATGGAGCCTCAGAGACCTTTAGAATTTTATCAGTAAAACCAACACTGGTGTAAATATTGCCTGAGAATAAAAAGAGAGACAGAAAAAAACAGAAAAATAATTTTTGAGACACAATGAACAACTTCTTAAATTTTATGTTAAAATATACGTGTACTCATGTCTATAAAATCACTTATGAAGAAAAGGTCATCTGCTATACATTATGCTACATCAATTAGATAATGATATAGAAATAAACTTCACTTCTACCACACATTACAAACACAGCATCACACAAATATAAATTCTCGAAGTATTATAAACCTAAATTTAAAAGTATATCAATAAAGAAAAAGATAAACCATAAAGATTAAGGCAGTAGATTATTTTCATGAACTTTGACTAACTCCTAAAATATGTCCAAAATAATCACAAACATCCAAACCGAGATATTGGACTATGGTAACATTAATAAATTCTGGTCATTAAAAGACTCCAATATGAGAAGGAAAATGTAATCAATAGTCAAGAAAGCCATTTGCATCATGCAGATTCAGAAAAGAGTCATATCCAAAAGAGAGCAAATTCTAAGAAGGAAAATAAGTATTAACATACAGGAGAAATGGTCAAAAGACACGAATATGCACTTCTCATTCTTACAACAGAGAATTTCCTAATGAATTGTGCTCTGAAAGATGTGTTCAATTGATCAGTCTCAGGAAAATGCCTATTAGTGTCATAATGATACTCTTATATAAAGATCAGAACTGATGACACTAAAATTCCTGGCAATACTAAGTTTTGGATCATGGAGCTATTGGATATACGGAGTATTTTACACAATAAACTAGAAAGTGCTGGGATAATTGAGTAAATTTGGCATACATATATATTTTTTTTTTGGCCCTGTAATGTCAATCTGATCCAAAAAGCAATGCATTTTAATTATACACATATCCAATTTTAATAATTATATTTATAAACTATTACATTATTATAAACATAACATTTATAATATAAAATATATATTATATGTGTTGCTTGTATATAATATAAATTATTTTAAATGATTTGGAAAAAGATACAAAAATATTTTTATTAAATAATTATTCATAATACCCACATACTAAAAACATCTATACTCTGAGTAGAATAGATTAAAAATGCCAGGTATGTACAATATAGCAGTGAACATTAACAAACTTCTGGTAAATGCAATAATATGGAATAATTGAAAAAACATCATGTGGGAGTTACTGGAGATCCATAAAATGCTTAATGAATGATTCCCATTACATAAAATTCAAAATTAAGCAAAAATAATTTATAATATAAAATATCAGAATAGTGGTTAAGCGAAGAGAGAGAAGTTATGAAAGAGTGCACAGAAGCAGACTGGCAACATCTATTTCATGATCCAATTTCAGTTTGTAAAATGAACAATAATATCTATAATTTCCATGATCATGGTAAAATCAAGTAGCAAAGTTCACTTTCGGGAAGAAAAGCACTGATAGAAGCATGATTGTCTATGAAAATCAAGAACTGCAAATTATCAAATGCACATTAATCATATTAAACATAAATAAATTATTATAAAGCCAAACAACAAATTATTAACAATCTTTAAAATAAGAAAACTACAGATATAGACAAAAATATGAATTCCTCAAGAGTATAAAATAAAATATTCTTTTAAATAAAATGTTGGAAACATTAGAAAGCTTACCATTTCCTCTTCATCATCTATATAGAGCAGGCTAGAGTTCTTAGAAGCACAGGCCATCCAGCTCTCATTCCAAGTTTTTTGTTCAGTACTAATGTAATAGCAGTTGTTGGAATATATTAACCACTCTAGTGAACATCGACCACAATGATATGCTGCAGAAAGATTATATTGTTAACCGAGAACAATATGAATTTTATAAATGAAAATTAATTTTGATATTTGCATAAGTATAGACACATTAGTGGGTAGCATACGTATATGTCCGCACAGACTGGTATATATAAACAAAGTACATTCATATACACTCACACACTCAAAGAGAAGGATCAGCTTCTCATTCCCTAATTTATGTGCCCATATTAAGCCAACACATAAACAAAAATATCCACTTTCTCTATGTCCTAAATGTCAATGAATAAAGCTAATTTTTAGAAAACAAAAATTATCTTTGAGCCCTTTGGCTACAATGGATATGATGATTTTAAATGAATATTTCTTTATATTTATTCCCTAAGAAAAATATTCTAGTATACTCACTATTTATACACATTTATTGCCAAGTATTATAATTTACATTCTCCCCACCAAAAATAAAAATCTAACAAAACTCTAAATGTTGACTGTATTAGAGACAAAATATGAACTGCACTAATATCACAACTTAGGAAATAATTCTGTACCTTTCTATTCCCTGTAGGCAAAGAAGCATTTATTTATTTATTTATCTACCTATTTATTTATGTATTGTTGTTTAGTGAGGGTCGTCCTGCCTCTTCCCCATTGGTCACTCCTACCCCGCCCCCTCCCACTCCCACAGTCCATCTCCCTCACACTGTCGGTGTCGAGGAGTCTTCTATTCAGGTTCCTTTGCTTGCCCCTTCCCCTCCTCTATGATGATTTTAAAAGAATATATCTTCATATTTTTGCTTAAGGAAAAGGCTCTTCTATGCTCATTATTTATGTACATTTATTTCCCAGTATTCCAGTTTATGTTCCACCCAAGAAAAACAAACTGTAAATTTTGAGTATGTCAGTGACAAAGTTGAGCTGTACTACTATCAGAACTTAGTAAAGAATTATGTACCTTTCTGCTTCTCTGTTGTCTGGTTCCCTGTCTGGTTCCCTGTCTGGTTCTCTGCTGTCTGGTTCTCTGCTAAAATAATATATAACTTATATTAACTACAAGAAAGAAGACTTACTCTGCACCGGTATTATATTAACTAGGAAAAAAGGAATTATTATTAAATGTTGATCTAAATAAAGCATAATACTTTTGTTTCTTATTTTGAAATGGGGAATATTGAGTATGATTAAAATAACCTGGAATAAAATAGATTTTACCAAAGAAAATTAATGAAGCAATGATAATTTCAGGGAAAATATTTCAAAACATTGAGAACACCCACTCTTACATTATTTGGATTAATCAATGTGAAGAATTTATTTGTATTTCTCCATAGTGTATCTTAGGGTATGCTTGAATTATAACACAAGAACATATATAGATATATAGGATATGCATATATACTTATAAACTATTTTTTAAAATAATGCCGATATTTATACCTTGGACAAACACAGAAAACAACTTTACAGTCAGTCTAAATGCATATTTTAAAATGAGAGTTCTATTCTGTAATGTTATGAAGTGTTTGGAGGCACTGATGAACACAAAACTAAAAAGTTTCAAATAATTTCACAAATATTTACTCACCATGATTAATAAATATCGCTACAACAGTGGACATCAGGACGAGGCAGACAACCCCTAGGATCCCAGCAATGAGCTTTTCTGGAGGTGACAGGAATGCTGCAGGGAGGGAAAAGGAAACACTGAGGAAGGAGGGATGGAGACAACGGTATGAACAGTTTACCCACAGAGAATCAGACACATAAACTTGGACCCCAAGGCCATATCTATCACTGTAATCTTTCTCTCAGAAAGTATCATCGCATTTTCACTAAATATAATTCTCCATGTGTTACTGGTCAAAGACAACAGCTTACAGCAATGTCTGAATAAAATTAAACTTTAGCTTCCATCCTAGAATACCATATTCCAAATTCAAGATCAGATCCTTAAGATGAAAAATGTGTGAGTTTATTCCTGACTCTCTCCCACACCTCTGCACCCTAGCTGCACATCCTAGAACAGTTATACTGTGTGTCTGAAAGTGTTACCTTTGTGGTGGTCCTTCTTGTCATCCCCTTGAAGATCTTGAGAAGCATTTGGAAGATTTAGTTCTGCATAGGTTATTTCCTGCTCAGTTACTGGAATGGAGCCTTTGGTGCCCTTTGGTTTCATTTGTTGTCTGTCTGAGTCCTTCACCAGATTCAGTTCTGTGTAGTTTACCCTTTGGTCATTCATCTCTGCAGCTGAGTGGTGTCTGAGTCTGTGCTCTACAGTATGTGTGCTTACCAATGACTGGTACATGCAGTGAAGAGATCCCTCACAGTAACAGTGGGCGGGGTAGAAGGTGAGTATCAGGCTCATTTCCCAGGTGAAGAATCTAATGTTCTGGTTTTAAATTTCTTAGATCTTTAAAGAAGTGCCTCATGATAGATACAATCTTTAAGATAGTCTACATTTGATAATATATTATTTGTTTGAGCATTAAAAAGCTGTATGTTAGTGATAAAGTAATTTCATAAATAACATCTTTATTTATTTAAAGTCCAATTCCACAAAATATTTTAATACCATGAGAATGCTAGTATTAAAAATAATATGCTATATTAGAAAAAAGAGACATTATTTATGATAAATTTGAAATTAAATAATGATTAAAGACTGAATGTCCTAAAGGTGGGGCACATATGCTAATTTTCTGAACTAAATCAATTTCATTTAGTGGCATACATTTATTTATTGAAGAAGGTGAATCGTTATCAAATGATCTTTTATTTTGAACGTTTGATAAATTATTACAAATAAAAATGTTTATTACATTGAAATACCTTACTCACACTAAACTTATTCAAAACCTAAACAACGCTGACAACCAAAAACAACCATGAAATTTTTTAAATACTTATGTTACACAAGGAACTGGCAATTGAGTTAAGGGCAAAGACATACAACCATAACATTATAAATAAATGTGTAGGTCATTTATATTAAAACACTTTTGTTTAACACTTCCAAACAGTTCCTATGGATGTTAAAGTCAGTGAGGGTACTTTCAGTTGTATAAGCAAGAGTAATGAATTAAATAATATAACTTAATAATTCAGTCAATGGGTTGTGTGGCCAGTAAGTTCTAGAATTAATTCTGGCTTTGAAATTTGCATGTATGATCTTTACAAAGTGACTCAGCGTCTAGCAACTTAGTTAACTAATATAAAGTGGGAATAAAAACATGTAGATATAATTCATGTAAAACATTTAATATTTTACCTTTTTTATAAGCTCCCAATAATATTTTAGTTCTGCTAATTATTATTTGAACGCATGTTTTATGTTATCTGACTCATATCAGTTGAGTGCTGTAGCTTAATTCACTAGGCAAAGAATCTCTTTACCAGTGTGGTACATTTTCTAGCAATGGTTGCTCAATTTTTAGAAAGTCTTTTGATTGTTTATAATTAAGCTTCAATTAGAATTTTATGGGGGTAATTTATCCTGATTTTTATGAAAAACCAATTACATTTATGTAATCTAAGTAAGTGTATAAAATATTACATTTGACCTCCATAATTATTATAATTTAATTTAAAAATCCCTTTTAACAGTGAGGCTAAATATAAAATATCATTATATCTATATCAATTATCAAATAAAAAGATCTCTTTCTTTTCATGATTCTTATAGGATTTTACTTTAAATTGCTTTGATTAACACACTCAATTATTCATGTGTACATACACTTGAGTAATTCTCCACAGGCTAGAATTTAAATAGTTCAAGGTATACTCCAACATATTTCATATTTTATTCTTGTTTTTTTACCTTAAATTGTTTAAGTAAAGATGCCAATGTTCTCTTTTATTTGTTTGTACAATAATCGTACTTCACGTGTATCACATCTTGCATTGTAATCTCCCCCTGCATGAGACGGGCTAAGAGAGAGAGAGGAGAGTAGCAACACATTCTTCTGGACGCAAGAAAATCCTGTACCTGTTAGTGGGAGACCAGCTCACTCCTATAAACAAACAATATCTGTGGTCCCCACAAACTGCCCTGTGAGGGCTCAGAGTGAAGCATGAGTAGAAAAAGCAGATTTCTCATTAATGTGTCACTTAAAGTTGGAACAGGAAATTCTTACACTTGGTCTATTTTGAAAACTGTGTATCCCATCACACACCTCCACAACATGGGAGACTTTGGGCTGGTAGTGTGCCATTCAGTCTGTCCATTGGCAAATGCATCTCAAAAAATTTTTTTCTTAATCTAAAAGATAGTAGGAGACAAAAGACTTCACCTTCCATGCTGTGGACTTACTTCCATCTTAATCACGAACTCTGAAATCTTATGCCTTGGTAAGAATACCTTGTGCTGGGAAATGCCCTGCCTGGTTTCAGGGACTGTAACCCCGCTGACAGGCGAGAGGGCCCCAAGGCTTTAAAAAATCAAGGAGGCCTTGGGAAAGCAGGCCACTGAGGAGATGAAACCTGTCCCCCTGGCAGGGGCGCAGCCCCAGCACCCCTCACATCACCCTGCTTGGCCCTGTGATGGTCACTTGTTGATGAAAGGTAAGTTTTTCTCGTGAGGAGAAAACAACCTAAGGCAGACATCGGCCTGTATGGGCAGCGGGACAGGACTTGGGGGACATGGAGAAAGGACAAAAAGGCCCTCACCCCTCAGTTCAGCTTGGACAGGGCCTGAATCCTCATTCTATCTGAAAGACGTCTCCTTATCTCTTGGTGGCTCTGCTCCGCCCACCTGCCTCAGGCTTGAAACAATACTAAAGGCAGGTACAGCCCTAAACTGGATATGGCAGTTCGGGGACAATCAGGCCTAGAAGTAAGTTCCTCTAAGCATGCTTTGTTTCTCCCTCAAAAGTGATGATAAGGGGCTCATTCTGGGGAGATTTAAATTAGTCATAGACCCTGACCTGAGGCAGATCTCTTGTGTTCCTTGATTGTTATCTATGATCTCTATCTGTTTTCTGTAAACATAGCCTTTTGACATTGATTGATGAACACTGCATCCCTACCCCAGAGCATTTGGTTCTCAATAAAAGCCTTTGGACACTTCGGGATCTTCTCCCCTAGAGGGAAGGGTCATCCCCTCTCTTGGCAAACACAGAAGTGTTTGCTACTAGTGTTTACTCATCCCATCCATGACAACTCCAGGATGTGCTCTGTGGGACTCGGAGCCTCGCTCCCTCCTCAGCGGGCTCTGGACTGTAATCTTCAGATCCAGGAGCGCCTGCACCCTGCAGTCCCTGCAGCACCTTATATGTTTAAATTCTACTCCTAGATGAAGTCACTTAATCTTGGCATTGCATATTTCTTTTCCTTATATTCTCATTATGGCATTTCAATTATAATGGAAACAATTCTAAAATCACAATTCCATAAATAATAGATATTTAATGATACTTGTCACCAACAGTCTGAAAAATTACTACATTTTCACCTTTATGGTGTCACAATAATCAGCAATCCCAAACTTTTCTTCTCAATTTCTCTGTCCTCTTTCCTAAAATTCTTTCAATCACTTCATAGTTATTAAATGTTATTTAGATTTCCCTTGGTAAGGATAATATCTCTGTGAAGGATAAAACATTAAAATATATTGAACATTATTACCATAGAAGAGATTAAATTATTACAAAACTATTATTATATTATGTTGATTCATTTTCAAATCATTACTAATTGTAACTTAAAAGGAATATATGTTTTAAACAACAAAAGCACAAATCTAACTATGTTGGGGGAAAACAAAGGAAATTTAACTTTTTTTCTTACTAAAATTGGGAAGGATAGACAAAGAAAACTTCTGAAAGACAAGTTACCTGACACATTAACATCAAAAGAAACAAAAATTTACTACACGTTTGGTTTACACATATTACAAAACAATTACCACAATAGTTTCAGTTAACATCTATTTCCTTTATTTTATTTTTTTATTGTTCAAATACATTTGTCTCCATTTTCCTGCCACATCCATTTTCTCATAGAGTAAGAGGTCAAAGAAATAAAGAACATGCAGGGTATTCACAGTGTTTGTGTTACCCAACTATTCATCACATAGTAGCTGTCTATATCACCAGACCAGAGATTTTTGACCTCTCACATCTCATGGCACACACAAAATAATTACTAAAATTCTGAGGCACACCAAAAAAATAGTTTTGCTGATCTAACCAAAAGTAGATATAATTTTGAATGATTATGAAAAAAAATTGTAATTACCTACTCTTTTTGCTTTAATGTGACTTTTTAAAAAATCAGGTGCCCATATTTGTATATGAAGAGGTCTGTGTGAAAACAGTCCAACCATTGTTGATATAATGAGAATGATTTCAGAAACATTGGTGTAACATGGCACCCAAAGAAAGTGGACTAAAAGACATGTATGAACAATGACTACTTCACTATACTAGTCAGTGGGAGCAATAGATGCCATTGAATGAGCAAATGTACTATGTGGCTGTCACACTCAAAATGACTGAGGAAGTAGAGCAACAAATCTGCATCAAATTTTGTGATAAGCTTGCACATGCCTCCAGGAAACTATTCAGATGATTCAGAAGGCTTCTGAGGGTGATGCAATGAATGCAATGAAAACAATAAAGCGTGGCAGAAATGCTTCAAAGGTGCTCGAGAATCTGTTAAAATGATCCATGTTCTGGAAGACCTGCAACAAGCAGAACACCTGAGAATGTTGAAAGTGTAAGGTCTGTAATGAGCAAAGATGGGTGACCCGCAGTGTGAGAACTAGTAGCTGATCTGGGGATTCCAAACACTACTGTGTCTGAGATTTTGATGCAGGATCTTGGCATGAATGGTTCATGGAAAAAATCCATTTGGTGGCTTCTACTACCAGAGCAGAAGTAACATCATGCTACAGTTGCTTATGACTTGATTCAAACTGCTACCAATGAACCAGATGTCATTAAGATAGTCAAAATCGGAGACGAAGTGTGAGTCTATGACTGTGATCCAGAAATGAAGGCACAGTCATCACAATGGAAGTCGCCTGGCTTCCCACGCATGAAGAATGGGCAGCAAAGTCACCACAAGGTCAAGACAATGTTAACTTTGTTTTTTTGATTGGGAAGGTGTCCATTACAAGAACACCCCTCCAGGGAAAACAATGAGGAACACTGCCTTAATATTCTTTGTCGTTTGAGAGACGCAAAAGGACTAAAATGGCAGCAGCTACTTTCTTCTGGTGATTGGCAGCTTCATCAC